CTGGGGGAGTCATGATGGGGTACCATGCTTGAAAGTTTCCTGGAGCCATCAAAGGTGGGCCCCCCCTACCGGGTAAGGATTGTCTCGGCGGTGGTCTAGCTGCATGTGGCGGGCGGTCAAAGTTTTGTCTCCGCGGGTGGGGACACTTGCTGAGAAGATGGTCGGTCGCTCGGCAATTCCAGCATTGCAGCCCGTGTGTGGCGAAGCCACTGACTAGTTCTGTATCGCTCGGCCAATGGGATGGGTCGTAGAACTCCATGCTATTGCTAGGCGTGCTGGCCGACGAGGGAGGTGGTTGCGGTTTTGCTGAGAAGACGTCGGCCTTGGACGAGTTGAGCTCTATGTGATTCCGAGTTATGTCGATATGCTTGAGAATGTGGTCTGGTGTGACTGCCTTCTTGGCCATTGTTCGGCTGCCGCTGCACAAGTCCTGTTCAACTCGGCGATCCACCTCACGTCGTAACTCCGAGCCTGCCTCAATAGAAGATTGAAGAACCAGTCCGCCGATCGTCTCTCGCGTGAGATCGAGGTCAAGGTCGGAAAAGTTGTCCAGTAGTTCAATGAGCGTCCCCATCGCTTCTGAGCTGCTGTTGTAATCCGAGAATTTGAAGCTTGTCAGCTTCTGCCAGGTCATCATTTGTTCGGCCCGACTGATTGTATTGAAACGAGATGTGAGGTGAAAATACATGTCGCGGCACGTTTTTTGCTTCAGCAGATTGCGGACCAGCGCCGTATCGACGGTTGCGAGGAGCAGTGATCGTCCCACTTGTTCTTGGAATTGATCGACACATACTTTCGAGTACCACAGCGGATCACTGAAGAGTTCGCGGACACGCTCGCGCATGAACATTTCCCATGTGCCAAAGTTTGAACCGTCCGGTTTGAGCTTCTCCGCCGAGGCCATTCTTGAAATTTGGTTTTGAACGACCTGCCCGACCGTTTTTCCATGAAACTGGTTCGCCTGAAGGAACCTGTCAACATCGTCCTCAGTGTAGATGGGAATATTGCGCCGATTGTCGCCAGGTACATCCTCCGGGGTCCGCCTGTTCTGCGCTGACGAGACTCCCCTGCTGCGTGATCGATGTTGACTCGACGATGCCGCCCCCTCCGCATTGACCATGTGGGCAGACGGGCCGAATCGATCGTTGGACCACGGATTGTCGTTGGGGAGAAAAGAGCGAGTGTTTTGAGGAGGGGATTCTGACATAGTCAGTATTGGGAGATTTGAAGCGGTGTAGAAGATAGTAGAAGATAGAGAGAAAAGTGAAAGAAGGGGAAAGAAAAAAAAGGATCGAGATGGAAAAAGATTCGGAATTTGAGTGGTGAGAAGATAGAGAGAAAAGTGAAAGAAGGGGAAAGAAAAAAGGAGTATCGAGATAGAAAGGTTCGGAATGTGGGTGGTGAAGGGATAGGGAAGGAAGAGAAATAGGATGGAGAGAGAGGGTGTAGACGTCGGAATTAAATGAAGAAAAGAAAATCGAGATTGATGAAAGGATCCGGCAACCGGTGGAGTCCCGCGAACCGAGCCCGTCTGTGTGGTGCTTCAGCGATGTTGTCACTCCAACAGATTTCAGCCCCCTAGGTACCAAGGTATCGGGTTCGAGTTAGCTAGACTCTGGCCTACTGATGTCTTTGTTATCGTCACACGTCAGCAAACACAGGTATCGAGTTGATTGATTTTTTTTTTGAGATTGAGGTAAAGTCGGTCGAGTCGGCCCTACGCTGGGTGAAAAGGTGAGATATTGAGAGATTGAGGTAAAGTCGGTTGAGTCGGCCCTACGCTGGGTGAACAGATGAGATAAGAAGATAAAAAGGGGCCCTACGCTGGGCTTTGATAGATAACAATGAGATGAGGGCTCATAACCTGTTGAGGTATGAGATGATGGTTTCGAATGAAGAAGAGAAAACATCATACTCTGTCTCGTGTCCAGGTGTCTAGTGAGCAGATGGTGACCCCTAAAAGGGGTTACAACAGAATCAAGGATGTCACACGGAGAATCACAGGATCAGAGGCACTCAGCTGGAGGGTATATTGCATAATGCATATTGAGTTCCTTTATTCCATATTGAATTCCTTTTATACTTCCAGAACCACAAGTTGGCCACCAGTTGTACCAGTTAAATTCCCATTTATTCAGCCACAGAACACATGAATTCCTTTCTTACAGCTTGCATATAAAAGGGATGCATTGTAGATAGTCTAGCCAAAATCCCTCAGTATTTTCAGGTACAGGGCAGCTAAAATGCCTCATACAGGGGGTCCCTTGGGGCTAAAATCCCTCATAATTTACTATATAAGGAGGCCTCTGCCTGCCAGTTGTTTCCCTCCTCATCCCACTCAGTACACATTTTTGGGGGGACACCTGTCACAGATATTTATTACACAAGAAGTTCACAAGTAGTACATTTCACAGATTGAAATATATACACAGTTCATTTCACAAACATTACACAGAAGAGCCAGTCCTTTGTTCCAGTCCTGGTTGAAGCATAGTGCTCCCAGACCCTTTGGGTTTAAGAACCATCTCTATTACATTATACATATACAGCATCAAGGAAGAGCACGAGTATCAAGACATCAAGACTAGAAACAACATCAACAACTCAATCAATTCTTTGGACAACAAGATCAACCTTCAACAATTATACAACCATCTTTGAACATAATCCATTATCACCAACCAAACTGCCAAGCTTACCTTGGTGGTCTTGTTTTCTGATAATATAGAAAGGCAGAGTTTTTCAGCTCATTTCATCCCTTTCTCCATTCAGCAAAAAGGATCTTACAATCACTTTTTGAGTCTTACACCGGTCTTGCCATGATCATTGACTAGCCAACCTTTAATCATACATTTATTACGTAAACTCAGTTTTGTGTGCATAACATTTCTGGCACCCAAACAAAATCATACTATTTCATTTGTGTATATATTACATGAATTGTTGTTTTTGTTTTTTTTTGGGAAAAAAAATTGTGTATTTAAATTTTACATCCCTGACAAACTTGGGGGGGGGGGTTTCCAGGGTCCAGTTGGGATTGTAGGTGTTTTGTGGATGTGTGCTCATGAGACCTGAAAGATGAAGGGTGAAACAGATGGATGGGCCTCTCTGGATTGATGTGTAAATCAAACTAAAAAGGTCCCATTGGATTTGTCTGTTTAAAGGATGTAACAGTCTTGAATGGGGTCTGGATGGCTTAACAGTAACCATCACTCATGAAAACTTGGTGTCTCCCCTGCAACAATAGAGTGACAAGTCTGTTGTTTGATTCCCAACAGACCCAACCCCTGGCCGCTACCACTTCTGATATTGGACAACTACACACTTCCCCATTTCCACTTTCATACCCTTCATTAGTTGTCCCCTTCATAAAACCCCCCATATTTTCACTTTCAACACTCGTCACCCAATTAGAATCAACCTGCAACATGAGTGTGACCCACCAATTCCTCAAATACAACTCAGAAATAGGTGGAAACTGTCTCTACAGAACTTTCCCTCATAAAACCAGTCCAGGAACAAACTAACCTAGGCCAGACAGGAAAGAAAATGGATGGATGAGGAGAGGATCCTGCCATGTCTTCTGGCTTGAGGTGACTAAATACAAAGATGTCACCTAGGGTGAAATTTGAGTGACAGGAAGAGACAACAGCTTAAATTTGATTATTAGTGTAACAGGGTTGTCCCACAAGGGCAGCCTATATATAGATTTTGCAAGGCAATACTTCCCTCTTATTCATTGAACTGATATAATTGAATAAAAAATGGGAGCGTCTTCCCCAATGTTTTATGATACATTTGTTCACTTTTTCAAGATAACTTTTTTTGCTTGTTTGTGAAGGAGTACATGATTTGCTTCTATTTGGAAACCAGGAAAAATAATGTGGGGAATTTGTTACAAGATGGAACAATACAATTTTGAAGAAAAGTGAGTGGCTCAAAGTGTAGTCAAGGGCTTAATTGGATCACATTTTTTTCTCAGAGTGCCTCCTCTTCAGATTTCATTTCATGTTCTGATCATTCATATTCAGCTTGGAAGCTTAAAAATTTGGAAGCTTAAAAATGTTGAGTAAGAGTGTCTGAGTTGTGGGATGGAATCTATAATGGCCAAGAACAGATGAAGGAATGAGAAGAACACAAATTCAACAAAATCAAAAAAGTGAGATTCTGCCATAAGGCCTTGTTTGACACTGATATAATTGAGCAATACATTTTCAATTCTTGTGACATCTGATCAAGTTTTGGCAGACCTCATCAGATCTCAGATAGGATGTCAGGAAAAAATTTCCATATATCATTCACATTATATTGCTGCCAAATGTGGCCTAAACCACAAGTTTCTTTGTTTGATTTTGAAAAACAAAATGTGGCTTTTTGGGGGGTTTTGAGACTCTCATGAAATTTTGCAAGAAAGAATATTAAAACAGTTCAATTCTTCAGGAACATTGTTGTTGGAGCAATGCTTTGTTAACAGATGACTGGTTGTGAATCAAAATTAAGAAAAGAAGCCCAAGATTGTCTTATTCTCACTTTGATTGATTTCCTGTTATTTGTGTTGTCACTTCTGAGCTCCTTCACAACCCCAACAAGAATTGAACCAAAGGATGATTTAGGAGGGCAACTATGTACCCAGAAAGTTGAGAAACATCTGTAATTGATTTTAGATTCACCACCAATTATCATTAGGGTCAGCAAATTTGGGAGAGTTGGTGGACATCTATGTTCAGAGGACAGCAAGCTTCTCTCTTTAACTGAGTCAATTCCCATATTCCAAGAATAAAAAATGAAACAATGGCATCAGGACTGCAAGCAGCTGAAAGGAGGTATTCTGCCAAAAGAGGCCGTTGGTAATAGATATTCAATTGAACATGATTTGTGCATTGACTGGCTTCCTAATCTCACATTCACAAAGACCTCATTCATTAACAAGACCAAACCAATTTTCAAGAGAAAAGCTAATTCAACAGAAAAGGATGAGAGGAGAAAAATAGAAAAGACAAAATTAGATGTTCTGCTTGGTTGTTGCATAATATCTTATTAACATAGTCAAAAGATTGGGTTTTCAAGACTTTGAAAGTTTGTAGAATGTACCACACCGGTGCCATGAGATGTAGGAGAAAAGATTGAGAATTTGCGGCATAAATCTTGCGGATGATTTCGGATAAATGCATAGGGTGTCTTCATAAATTGGGTATCTTATACCTTTCGAGGATGCGGTGTGGCTGAGAGATGTTGGCAAAATAGCAAGAGGGTGTTGCAAGAAATCGCCGCACTAGAAACACAAGGTAGTGATTTCTTGTCTGATTGTCTTAATCCTTAGAGAGTGGCAGTCTGATGTCGTAAACGGATACATCGAATGAATGTGCAAGAGATCGAAAACTGTCCGGATTGCTTCTCACATCGGCCCTCTTGTCGACCAGAGTGAAGGAACACACAAACAAAACGAGGCAATGGAGAACCAGAATATGTTTCCTAGCGAAGCATGTGTCCCACCGCCTGATGGTGATTGTTCAAGAGAATGAAATAGATGGGTCAGTAACTAACAACGAGAAGCCTGGATATAGCTCGATTAGGAGGAAGAGTCATACCACCACCGATTTGATTTATGGTATCCCGAACTTTGAGTGCTGTCATCAACGTGAGGACGAATGAGACCAGTGATGCAATTGCTCCCAAAGCCACCAGAATCAAGCTGACAGACCCAGTCTTTATGAATTTGGCTAGACTAGGTGATGTTTTTTCGAATGGCTTGTAAGGTATTAGTAACAACAGTAAGCCAACTGTGGCCATAATACCAGCTACGAGATCAATTGCAATCGTCAGTGCCAGGTCCAGCATTGAATCAGCGGACATGCAGTCCTATACATTGAATTGGACGAACCTAAGACATGTGTAACCAATAAGTGAGATTGTGATTTGCTCATAACTTCTACCCAGACCTGATCGCTTGTATTTTCTGATTGGTCTACATTGAAGCCAATGGTGCTATTGGGAAGTGGGACTCCAGCAAGTCCGGTGCTGTTGACGGGGAGGCCTAGCTTGAAGGTAGCGCAAATTGCCTTATTGATCAGGGCAAGCATACTCATTGGAAGCTCAAAAGAAAGGCTGACTAAATGTCCATCCAAAGCCAGGTCGAGAGCAACCTCTATTTTTGCCCGAATTGTGAATCATCGCATCAAGTGTAGAGTTTCCAGTCAACGTCGCAGTTGGGTTTGCAGTGGTGGCGTTGTCGGCATTATACCTACGCCAAACGCCCCGCGTTTCGATAGCGGTAGGCGGTCAGTCAAAAGCTCCAAACGCTATGGAAAGTTTCCGGCTTGAATTCGGCGCACCTGGTACAGGCACCCCAGATACCGACGAACCCAACAAACGTTGGATCTTGAATTTTGATAACAGAGAAGTCTGTAGATTGAATCGGGGTTTTTTTATGATCGGTTCAGGTGATTCAAGTGTTGTTATTCAAAAAGAGGATCGAATGCGGTTAGCTTGTTTGTAGGCTTTTGTGTTTGGATGTCTTGAAACGATCGCAAGTAAACTGATGTACCATCATCCCATGGTGCAGTGAAGATAGAAGCGACTCTGTTTTGGTGCCATCCGATCAACGAGCATATTCAAACATTCGTCAGCTTAGCCTGGGTATATCAACTTATAATGCCAAAGAAACCCTTCTGGGACACGTTCCGACGTTCTCCAATCTTCATTTTCCCAAAAAAATCGACAGAGTCTTGAGGACTTACACCAGTGCGGTAGCGACGATGACCGGGCCTATGAAACCGGGAGACCTCAACGAAGTCCTTGGGATAAATATGGAGGTGCGTTCTTCACTCATGTCTCGATTGCCTTCCTGAGTTTAGTTGTAATTATCCGAATGTTGAGTAAGAAATTAAGAACGATGTTATCGCATGGGCAGTTCTTCCTCTCTTGGCAGCCACAGGCTATGAATTATGTATGCTAATCTTTATGGATTGAAATGTTTTGATTAGAAGAAGACGAAGTTAGATACAACATACATAAATAAACATGCAATACACAAAAACTTACATTTTGCCTGCGACTGAAGTGTTGGCTCCTGGGTGGGTGGTGTGATTTGCTTGCTCGGATTTCTGAGGTTATTATACAGTTTGGAGCACCTGGACTGGTAATGGGGACTCAAAAAGGAGGCACGAAATCTGTTAAGGTCCCACTTCAAGTTGCAATAGGGAGGAAGCTGGATCTTCGAAGAAGATTTGTCAAAGTATCAAACAAGCGCTGCAAACTGAACTGCGCACTATGTAAAAAGATGCATGAGAATTGAAAGCTTTTGACCTCGCTGAGGCTTGTCGAGGACTATGTAGTATGGATAAAAAATTCGACAGCTGATGTATGCAAATATTATGTGCGTTTGGGTGTGCTTCTGTACGAATACGCAATGGTGGGTCAAGAGTTCTACAACCCGTCCGACAAGCCTCTCGATGGGATTTCGGCACTGCTTGTTGGACCTCCAATATGGACGAATTTGATGCGATGAATTCACTCGGGCAGTGTGTCTTCTCAAAATGACTGTTGAAATGATTCCTAGGGGGCGGAGCCTGGGGGCGCGGAGTTTTACGAAGATTCCGCTACACCTGTTTCACTCGGGGAGGGCCGAGGAATTCATAGCTGCGCCATAACTCCAAGATCCTATCATACGATCAAGTTTTGCTGGCCGGTCTCTAGAAGATATGGTCGGGGTATTATGTATACACTGGCGATTGCTTGCGTTCTACGTTCACAACACAAACTTCCGCCCGATTACTGAGCGTTGTCTCTACATCCCCCGGGAATCTTCGCGCCGATAGCCATGTACGAGAAGTGGTGGTGAAGAATTCCTAAGAATCAATTCACCTGGACGTTCCGTATGCATAGTTCGTCGTAACGGCAGCTTCTCTCTCCGGTATCTGGATCTGTCTGCCCGGGCGGGTTGGACGGATGTCCTGAAGGCGCTCTCAGGATTCAGGTTGCTTCGAGCCCACAGGAAGAACTTGCAGCAAAGCGATCAAGCTTGGCACGAAAAAGCGAATTCTCTCAAAAAAGTTGTTTACATAGAAATCAGCTGAAATCACCATTTGTCTCACTACCCAAAAAAGCAATTTTCTCTTTTTGACCACACTGCACATGTGCATGTTGCAGAACCTTTCTAAAATTTCACTTCTCCCTTTCCGTGAATCCTTCATGGTGTTATAATCTAGACACCAAAACAATCCACTCCAAGATCATGTTTTTACCTGGGGGAGTCCAGAAATGGATGATGGCTTCTTGGCCTTTGAATTTGAGCAAGTACTCAACCAACTGACACCTTGTGTTGGTCAAATATTGCAAAAGTTGTTTCCCCAGGACCCAGAAAAACTCCCAGTAACCAAAATGAATGGATTTTTCTGCTAAAACTCAAAATAGTAATCACCAAAAAATATGCATGGCTATTAATTTTTGGCAGTCAGGCCAAGGGAACAAACTCAAAATGTAAGTTTTGTTTTTCTAAGGAAGCGGTGATTAAAATGTACAAGAGCTATATGAGCTCATTGACTACAAAGCCCCCAAATGCCCCCCCACCCCCCCCCCCTATAAAACTTGGGTGAATTTTTGTAAAAATTACAAGTTGGTGATAGTCAAATACGTTCTAGCCAAGTTCTTCTAGCTTTTGATAAGTTTTCTGTGTTATGCCAAGGTTCTAGTCAAGTTTGGCCAACCCACCTGGTGGCAAAGCCAAGCCTCATAAAACATTGGTTGGCCTATGCGTACTTACTACTGATGATTTCCAAGTTGGCTGAATTTTTGCAGAGTTTTGCACTCCAAATTTTCCATGTTTTATTCTTTGGTGGTTGATCAAACGACTCCCAGGCTTTGGAATTCTGACTCCCAAATCCTGGATCTTGGTTAAAAATAAAATTAACAAAGAGAGTTTCTTTGGTATAAGATCAGTTTTTGGCAATCCTCTCCAACAGAGAGTGTATGACAGGGACAGTCTTTTTAAGTTAGAAAACTTCCGGAACCAATGATGAAGATGTCTTGATTTGGTTTATTTGTAGGTTCAGAATATCAGGAAATGGTGGTTCAGTGCTAAATGAGGAAATACAGGGCACACAAGCTTTTCCTATTAAGATTAGAAGTAAGTTCAGCTGTGTGGGATCTATCATCTGTGCATCTGTGTTGGCTGACATTCTGATATGTAGGCAGTATGAGAGAGGGGACTACATAACTTCATGTTCTGCATTGGATGTACCATCAAACTATGCGGAGTATGAGCATGTAGCCTGATTATTATACTCTGTCTTGCTTCCTAAAATTGTTTTTATTTGTTCAAGGAACCAAACTGTTATATGCAACTAAATCACAACAGAGGAACTGATTCAGACATTTTGAATTCATTTTTCTCTCACAAGTTGTTTTTTTGCTTGAGTGAAGTTTCTAAAACACTTTCCAATTTCATCTGGTTTGAACTTAACTGTTTGAGTAGTCCAACTTGACTGTATTCAAGGCATGTATGGAATGTAAAATAGATGGGAATATACATTTACAAGATCTATGAGCTAATCATGATGATGCTTACATGTTCTCCAAACGTTTCTAGCTTCTTGTAGTGTGACCTTCATATTTTGGCAATGTTCAATGTATTAACAAATACATTCTCTAAAACAGCTTGTATATTTGTTGCATCTTGAATTTCAGATGATGCAAAGCATAGTGTTAGTTTACAAGGAATTAACTTAAATCTCTTTATGAAGATCAGACAATTATGTAATGACTGTATGTATCTGGATTCACAGACTGAAACACATGTTGTAACCATTTGGAAAGACTGATCAGAATCTGGATGTACATGTTGTTGATCTATTGGCTTTTCCAACTCTGTTTACTTCAAATTTTGAAATCCCATTGTTTCCAGCATTGTGGGCTATATATTGGAAGAAATTTTCTATTTTCAAACATGAAGGTCTCCCATAGGTATCTAAGAACATTCCTACTGGTACCATACATTTCAAAAGCAACCCAAGGCATAAATACTCCTCCAGAGATTCATGAGAAAAGCCCAATCAAATGTGAAAACTTGATCTAATCTCAATTTTTTGCACTTCACTGTGAAACAATCTTGCTGAACTGGCAGCAGTTGAAATTCAATATTACCAAGGTGCCTTGGTAATATTGCATGTCAACTGCCACCAGTTTGGCAAGATTTTTTTCACAGTGCTTGGGATTCAGAATGAAGAATACTGATAGATGTTGAAATTTATTATAGCGGCATTTCACTTTTTTGTGGAACAACCACATCGAATGCTTCCAGATGTTCAAATGATGCAACCGCTCAGTAAGGGGAAATTACATCAGCTATTCTGATTTGGACCAGGACCCAAACTGATCCAGAGAATCAATTTTTCTCCAAGAGTATCCATTCAAAGTGGAAGATCATATGCCAAGAGAACAGAATGATCAATATTACTGTGAACTTGCTGTTTCCCGAGAAGAAAATGGACTTGAAAATGGGATTACATCAAGAGGTATGTGAAGCAATTGCTAATCTCCCTCCTTACTTTGTGATTCACACATTATTTTTATACTATACTGCATTCTTAGACAACATTTTTAGTTGTAAAATTAACAGTCTCATAGAAGAGAAGGATAAAAGTAAGTAAAATGAATTCTAAGCTACGCATTATCCACTGTAAATAATACAGCTAATTATTAAATCAAAGAGCCAGTCAAATTCTCCGCATCAGACATTGCCAAATTCCAGGGATCAAAATTTTCAAAGCAAGGTACATCCATTTTTTTAGTCACAGCTTTATCACTACCATCATAGTTAGATTGGGTATCCTGTTAAGACAGAAAAATAATATTTTGGCCCAGAATTTCTGATTATCAAATTGAAGAATTTGAGATTGCATTATGATTGAGGCTGAACAATTCCTTAATGAAAAACAACACTGATACAAATTTAATGATGATTTTTTGAAGCACTGTGACTGAGTGGTTTAAGTAAAGTGGAATATCAACTCAGTTTGATGCAGAAATGCCAACCTAGAACTCAAATATCTATAATGATTTTGAATATTTAAAGTCCTATCTAACTATGATGGTGGTTGAACCTGATTTCTATCTAAGACTCCAAATCTGTATTTTTTGACTGATATTTGAAAATTCCACACAGGAATAAAATCACAAGCAGAAGATATCAAAGGAATGAGGGAGGCACTTCATGTTTATGGCAAGGACATATTTTATAAGATAAAGGTTGATCAAAAATACGAGAATTGGTGGCATTGCTATCATGATCTGAAGAATATACATAATGCCATTTTATGTGATCAAGCAAAAATATCTCAAAATTCTGCCAAAAATTTGTTTGAAAAACTGCATACCCTGATAAATAAAATTGGTCCACTCAAGAAAGAGGAAAAATTCAATTCATATGAGAATCAGAAAATTGTTGATCTTCAAAACATCACTTTGAAAACAGCAAATTACATGTACAAATATTACCTGGTAGATAAGGAAGATTATAAAGGATTCTTTGAAGGAAAAAATACACTGGAAATTGCTGCAATAAATTTATTCAAGGATCATTTATTCAATGAATCTGAATTCATCTGGACAGAACCACAACTTTTCTACCCCAGCAAATACATTCTTCAACATATCATATATAGAAATATACCTTCTTCAGATTACAAGAATATGTTTGAGGGTAAGATAAAGTTCATGCTTTATGTTCAGGATACATAATTTCTTTCACTGAAAGAAAAAGTCATATAACTGTGCACGGTTGACATGTGATATACAAAGGTGCCTTTTTACAATTGCATGTCAACTGCACACAGTTGCATGAATTTTTCTTGCAGTTTTTGCTTGAATTTGAAAAATTTTACTGATGAAAAAATCATTTTAATTCGTGATTTACTTTCCTTCAACTCAAGTTCTCAATGATAAACAAAAGAGAATATTGTGTTACAATTTTATAAAATTACATGCTCTTTATGGTAATGAAGAGATGGAAAATAAAATGGGATATCTCAAGAATTGGACTTTGGAAACCCAGTTGACAGCATCTGGGAAGTCAATCTTTCAAGATGATTATTTTCTTAACAAAATGGAAGAATATTTATTAATATCATCCAAGGAAGAGCAAGAAGTATTCATAAATGATTTAAAAACTTCTGAACTGAAGAAAATGTTCAAAAATGTGTGCATTCTTTTGCAAGAAATTTGGGATGAAAAGGCTAAACAGATGCACATATGGCTTAAAATCAAATTTATTACTCCTGTGCTATTATTGACTATAGATTTCTTCAATGAAAATTATGGAGGATTTTTGTTGAAAATCATTCAAGGAATGGGCTCTTTTTTGGAGAAAGTCAATTCAATCTTGGAGATCAGTCAGCTTCAAGGAAAATTGGACATTTATCATGCAAATTATTTTCCAGAAAGCTCCTCCCATCCACCATCAGATTACCTTTTCACAAATTCAAAAGGAGAGGTTTTCTCCACCAGCCATTCCAGGGAAGACATCATCCATCACATCAATCAATTGTTAAATAAACAGGAGGAATCCTTCACTTGTGAAAGTGTTTATGATGCAGAAAATCTGTTGAGGATGAGGGAAATTTATTATAAAACAAGGAGAGTGAATTCACTTGCATATTGTTTTCCAAAATGCTCTCATGAGATTACAACATCTATAAGGTCTCCAAATTTTTGTGAATTTCCTAGCATGTTTCCTAATGCAGATGATGACTCCTGAAATTCATAAAGATGGATGCATATTCTATCCCTCTCATGCTTGGGTAAAACATGGTTTTGATTGCTTTTGTTCTTTACAATTTTCAAAATAAATGCACATCAAGTCCATTTGAGGCCTAGATTTTTTTGAATTTTACCATGGTACAGTTGTATGATTTTACTCAAGAGAAGATCATCCTTGATTCAGAATGAGTCTATCTTGTCATTCTCAGAATATACATTGCCTGGCCACTTTAAAAAAAATAAGGCCAAGTTTTCTCAGAAATCTCTTTTATTGTTCATTCACTGTTCAAAGAATAGAAAATGTGTTGGCTGATAGTTCAAGATTTTGTCTGGATCTGACGGCTTTGATTACACTCCCCTGTAAAAGCCAGCAACCATCAGTTTTCATCCAAGGCAAAATTGACATAGAGGTAAACAAAACATCTACCAGGAAGATCTGAGCACCAACGGTGAATTGATGATTTGGTGTTGGAGGGTCAGGTTGGGGAATGCAAGGCACAATTGGCATAGAGGAAAACAAAAAAACTACCAGGAAGAGCTGACCACTGAAGGTGATTTGATGATTTGATGTGTGAGGGTCAGGATGGGGCATGCTTAAGCTGCGCCAGCAGTTGTAAGATACGGTGCAAGAGGGTGCCAATGTGCAGGTACCTAGTCACTCGCAAGGGGGCCCATACCACTCAGAAAGGTGTTTATAGCCCTTGGTGTATGGCACAAGCAGCAGAGGCCTAGCAAGGGCCTGCAGGGATTTCCTGAAATGTGCTTGGAAAGGGCACACTTGCCAAGCTGCCAGCACAGCAGGGAGAGGATGAAAGATGAAACCATCCTTGCAACTGTGAAAGATGAATCCATCCTTGCAACTGTGAAATTGGAACAGACAGGGCCCAAAGGCAATCAAATGAGGTGGTATCAATCAGCGGTCTCATCAACTGTCAATTTCAGCAAGCACTGTTGCGAGCAGTGTTGCATGGGGGGGGCACTTTGAAATCAGTAGACCAGTGTATTTATTGCAAAATATTAATAATTAGTTACAAAATACAAGATGGGCTGGGGGAAAAAAATGATCACATCAATCCCATTCGAGTTCATCATCGAGAAATGAATAGTCTTCTTCCTTGAAGATGTCAAGAGGGATTCGGCAAACAGGACAGTCTTCTTGGGCTTCTAACCAGCCCTGGATTGAAAAGAAGAATGGTTTAGAAAACAGGTCAGATTGAACTGTTTTGTTCACAAGGGATTTGGGATTAATAAAAGTACTCACTTTGGCACAATGTAGGTGAAAATGGTGGGAAGGGTCACATGGCAGGGTCACAACAGGTTCGTCAGGAAGATATGCATCTAAGCAGACGGAGCAAGAAGGAGCTGCTTGTCTATCCGGTTCATTAGACTCGAGTTTTAGGTAACCAGCTGGTTTGGTCAAGCTATCCACGAGTTGTGGAAGAGTCGGTAATTGAGGTCCAAGAGAGGCATTCTTGCGTTTGAAGACTCTCTCAAAAGACTGGAAAAAGGACTCAATCCTCTCTCTATGGAAATCGCCAATGTTCTCCAGGGTATCAAGGGAGCCTTGAGGCCCGAAGAGTTCCGAGAGCTCTTCCTCGGTCATGGGCACCCGGGAAGGCTTCTCGTCCCAAAGCTCAGCGTAAGCAGCGCTTAGGCGGGTGAAATAGTCCTTGATTAAGGTTTGGTTGTGAGGAGGGAGCGTCTCGAGGGCCGGGCCGATTGGATATGTACTGGGAAAGTCGTCCTCATGAGGTCCTTGCATTTCCCTGTACCGCTGGTGACATTCGGCCAGCATGTAAAAATCCTGCAGATCGGAATCAGCGCCTGAGCAGGCGCATTGGGGATCCTCACATGCAGGCCAGTCAAGATGGCACATCGACGGACTGCAGCTATCTGGGCAAGTGTCCGCATGAGAGGGTGGTATGTCTATAGTGAATTCAACTTCTTCTACCTCAGCAAGAGCTCCGGCTCCGGGGCACTCGGTGATGTCAGAGGCAAATTGGACGCATTGGACGATGCCGGAAACGTGATATGAATCTGTTGCGAGCTGGGATGGTGCGACTTCGTGTGCAGCATTGGGGCCACCAGGGCCTTCCTCTCCAGCGATGGGTATGGGGATTGGGTTGGTAGTAGTGGATTGTTGGTCCATGTTGTGTGTTGAGAAGATTCTTGCTGCTTGGGGAGGGCTAGTTGAACTGTTGGGGGGTGTTGGGCTGAGCGTTAGACTGGGTGAAGGCGTGATGTGATGTGATGGGGAAAGAGATTGCTGAAGGGGCCAGATGACTGGCTTTTATAGCCTTGCTAATGCCGCCTCATAGAGGGCTGAGCCAAATCCCTTCGTGAGGACCCGTCGCAAGTCTTTCGGTAGGCCGTCGTGCATTTCCCAGAAGACATTTGGCGCGTCAAAAGCGCGTTTTGTAAGGAAAGACAACAGACTGGTGCTTATTTGGATCCACATCTGATGCATTACAAAACAAGAAAACCCTACGCGAATGTCGTTCAAAAGCGCGTTAATGGATTGTCGTCATCATTCTGCTTGGTTGTCTTTCAAGCTGCAGTTTGCAAGGAAACAGAGAATGTGTTTTGTGAATTACCCAAGCTGTTACGCGGCTCCTGACGAACCGCGAAGGCCTCATTCCAGGATGAGTAACTTGAACATGGGATTGAATGACTTACCTTTTTTGGGGTTAAGGGTTAGGGTTATAAAAGCGGCTCTCATGGTTCTTTAGATTGTAATTAACGAAGTACAACCTTGACAGAGAGTTTGCACATTTGAATGACGTTGACCTGTGCCTTCAAGTCTTGAGATCCCACCGTTTAAATAGTTCCGCAGGCCGCCGAGGTGAACAATCAATTTTATGTAGGCCAGAGTCACATACGCTCCGGTGTCCATCGCCATCCGGCACTTCCAAAGTGCAGCCTTCGCAGACCTCAAGAAAACCAATATACTGACCCATTCGCATTCAGTGTAGTCCAGCCCGTCGCCCACAAAACTCTGATCGTTTTACCTCTGTCGGAGTTCACTTGAACACAAGACGCGACAGCCGGCAGCCAGCCACGACGGAAAGAGAAAGTTCTGATCTTGACACTGGAATCGGAAAGGATTTGTTAACAAATCGACCGATATTCATCAACATATCGACTCCATGTCTGTCCACAGTTTTATCTCATTCCTTGGAGCGAGGAAGACACACGCTGATGTTGATCCTTCTTCTGCTTCTTCGCGGCCAGCCACCGGGGCGTTACTTGATACGATTGACATTGAGATAATCTGTACATACCCACACATATTGGAATGTACTAGGAATTTTCTTCCTCCAAAGGCTTGTGGGCTTGTAATCCCATCTTCCGATCGGTGGGATTGGCTATATTCCCCAAGAAAGATCTGTCTTCGCAAACAGATGTTTACAGTACATTATAGGAAGACTTGAACACAATCGAGCCGCAACGGTCCGTAATACCCATGTCCAACTTTTTTTTCCTGTTCCGGTTTGGGCACTCGGACTGATTGGTGCTACAACCCTTTACCCGACTCAAGGCGTTTGAAGTCTGAGCTGACGAACCGAACAACCTCGGCTCAAACGTCCTCTCTGCTTGGTTATCTGTTCTCATATTATTGCCGTCTGCTTTCAGAGCAAGCAATCGGAAGTTTTAAGCACGGAGTTGGGATCCTGACTCGCTCTTCATCACTCGCTGACCCGTTCATTCTTACTGGATATACCCCTCATGGTGGTCTTCAGGACGCGGAAATCCAGCATCAGTCTAAACGACTCCCACGATTCTTCTGGCAGTGTCCCTCCAGTCAAAGCTCCAGTGAAGGTAAAATCCCCATACCCTCATCCATCCGTTCCCAGCTGCAGAGTTCTCAGTCCGGTCCAGGCGCAGGGTCTCAAGCAGTATTCCTTCAGCTCAGACGTTAAGCCAACCAGCGCCTATCCTCATCTTCGGCCGTCCTCCAACTGTTCGAACGAATCTCATCAAACTCAAACTTCGCAACCACATCCACACTGCTGCCCCCAGTCGTTTGCTCCGAAGTATACTGTCGGCCACCAATTTTCAGACTCTCTCCAGCGAGCCAACTCCATACAATCTTCCCCTCATCAACCTCAACCTCAACAACAACAGCTTGCCACTCGCCCCCGTCTCGCATCATTCATGGGCGCTCAAGATCAGTCATTCCCTTCTGCCGCTCCGGCCCAATCGTCCTTTCGCCTTTTCAAGTCCAAAATATTATCATCCACATCCAAGCTCAAGCAATCCGCCCAATTCGGCCTTGGCCCATCAAGCTCAAATGGAGCTCCCTATCTATCACCATCCCTAGCAGCATCATCAGATTTGCTGAACAACCCAAGCCAGGCTGCTTATCACGAACAAAGTGCTTCTGCCGGTCAGCAAAAGTTCAATACCGTCAGTCACGTCCGCCGACCCAATTTTAACAATCCGTCCCAACAGGAACCGGCAGATTGGGTCCACTTAGACCCTTCAGCTCTAAGTCTAACTCCTCGTCCATCAACTGACTCTGCCAGACCCACCTCAATACACGCTGGTTACTCTTCTTCTCCAGCTCCAATGGCAATACAAGCTGTTCACTCCACATCTCCGACTAATAGGATAGTGATTGATTCGAATTCCAGTCGGCGCAATTATCCACAGTTTAACAACAAACCAGCCATGCAAGCTGGTCCCAGAGTTATGAGAATCAATCCTCAATCAGAAACCCTTATGCGCTTCAACACGCCCCCCTCAGGAAACTTACCAAACAATGAGTTATCTATCCATGCGCAATCGCTTCGAGCAATTCCGGTCCCACACGGTGGTGGCAATGCACTTTGTAAGACATGCATTTCCAAACAAAGATCTCCGACTTCCATAGATTAGACCCCTTTTACTACCACTTGCAACGATCATCTGGAGCTGACCAGTTCGTTCATTTTTATCTGCTCATCTTAAACCTGTAGTGTCGATCAATGCATCCCATCCTCTCCGCCAGGCTGCCCCGAATTTGCCTCCGCAGCATACTGACCCGCCACCGTTTGCTCCTGCTCCTGCAGCCAAACTTCCTGCTCCTCCGGAACCGGTTCCGACCTCGCTGGCTATCGAGCAGGCAAAAACGCCTCCTTCTACTTACCGCGAGCCACCAACTTTCAATCGGTTAGGTTCCAATGAGCCCCATCTAATCAATACCCCTCAAAGGCTTTCGTCCATTCAACTTGAGCAGCCTGTCAAAGCCGCCTCAAGCTCTCGCGTCGGAGCTCCAGAAACAGCGTTATCCAACATAGCTGTCACTACACCATCGCCGCCCACACCCTCGGCCGAATCCAATGTTCTCTCAGCGAGTTCAATCGACCGGAATGGTCAGATGCCCGAGCCAGATCATGCCGGGTATCATCACTCCACGCTGAAATCTTCCTTGGCATACCGCAAACCCCCTACACCCCCTGTTGACTCCGCCTCCAACTTGACCGCGGCTCCCTCTTCCACAGTGGTGACAGAAATCACCAAACCTATCATTGAGAATCAAGTAGCGGGCCCGTCTTCAAACATGCTATCTTCGCCGCCAGCAGGATCATTGGACCTCGGCGATTTCTCTTACTTGTTTACTAATTCTAATTCCGCTCCGACGAGGACTGACACAAGCGATTCCAAGCATCAGGACTCGCCCCTCTCCAAACGAAGAGAATCCATCCGCCCCATACCTCCTCCACTCGCCTTTGCTCCGTTAACTGGGTCGTCCAATCTTGTCTTCCCTCCCTCCCAGAGTCCTATGACACCTACGGAAACGCTATCTGTAACAGATTCTCGTCCATCCTCTACTTCACAATTGTCGGGCAGAAGTGACAATTTTTCATCGCTTCCTTTCCTGGGCAATGACCAATCTTCTCCAAGGCTGTCCTCAACGCGTAGCAATCAGTCTCCCTCCCCGCTCCCTTCGACTCCTATCAAATCGGATAAGCACGCTTCTTCGACACCCTCGCTTCATATCGCACATTCACCAAGTACACGCAGCCCTCTCCCTTCATCTTCGTCCACGGCATCTCCAACCTTGCTCACGTTCAAATCTTCACTTTCCACCGCAGAACTTCGTTCAACATCGGAAAACTTTACTTCACCACTTCCTTCCCCTTTGCAGAAACCCATCCTTCCGACAAGCAAACCCCAAACACCAGAACCACAGCCTGTAAACAGTCAATCTCAATTTGAGCTCGAACAAGCACGTCAAATGATTTTGGGTCTTCAAAACCAAGTCAAGCAACTCAAAGACGCCTCACTCAGGCCAAGCCCAGTGATTGAAGAGAACATTTCAGATTCTTCATCCACTGTTGCACCGCTTGCAGCTGTGACTGCCGGATCTAACGATGACTCCCAGAAGAGTTTGTTATCAGTATCCATCCCTAGTGAACCCAGAAGTTATTCAACGTGAGTAATCTTTTCAGTTCAACATCCTGATCGATTCCAGCCCGTCAATTGAAGTTCGGGCATGCTTGCTTCAACTTGCCTTTGTACAGGGAAAATCCGAGCATGCAAGAGAATCAACAACAAAGTGATGACTTATTGGAAACCACGTATGTGTGGTCATCTTTCTGATTAGTGACGAATGAACCTGACCCATTGATCATGGCTGGCTGCTTTGTTGTTCATCGCAGGCCATTACATGCAAAGGCACAACCAGCAAGCCCATTCATTGATGCAGCTCTAGGCAGAAATCCGTTAGTTACCTGTTTTTAATATTTGAACGGGTTGTGAGACCTTCATTGTTCTTCCTAGCCTCCCCCACCTCATTAATGCTTTCTCGCCTAAACTTATTCATGATACAGTGAAAGCGAGTCTCCTGCCCAATATGCCTTCCCTAGTCAGGAGGTAGCCCGCACTACGTCTCAGTTTAATGATGCCGATCAACAGACAGAAAGATCTTTGCCGCAATCTGTACCCTCCCGATTGCCCTTAGCTCAACATCGAATAAGAGGTATGGCATCGACAGATTTTGGGAAGACTTTCGATCCTGATGTCAAGCCAGCAGCGTCTATTCCCCGCCGGCAAATCAAACTCTCGCTAGCATCAGCTGTTTCGACTGAGTATCGCTATGATACGCCAGAGTCATGCTCAACTCAAATGACGACCCCCTCCTCCATCTCTACTTTCACACAGAGGTCAACATGGGTCTTCGGGTAAGCAGGCATCCCCTCTCCGAGCGGATGAGAAGCACCCAAGGCACGAACTCTCATGGCCACGGATGGCCGAGAGAAAGGCAAAACTCTATTCACAATCCTCATCCCGAGCATTCCTCGAGATTGGCTGGACCGGGGGGTCAACAAGAGCCACGATGGCTGCCCTCCCGGCCACTCAATGAATCAGTCACATCGGCAACCGTTCCACGGTCCTTATCTTCATTAAGTCAGTCAAGGGTCCGACCGGATCCAGCTACTTCACGAATCCATCGTCATCATCAACCGTCCCCCTCGATCAGCTTGCAATCTATCCAAGATGATGAAGAATTTTCGGAAAGCGACAGTGAACTCGAATCTGTTTTTGAACGCACCAGCCATGTCTCATCGCATCAGGCCAGTCGCTCTGGTCTCGACTCCCTCAACGAGGATTCCGTGCTTAACCTGGCCGGTGGGAAACTCAATAGACTCAACTTGAGACTAATGACCAAGCCTGAGCTACTGGCAATCATTAAAAAACAACACGCCAAGTTGGAGAACACAAGGCTCGCGTTCGCCGCCGAGCGAGATGATCTGATTGATACATTGGAGCAAACTAGGGAGAGAGAAGCGGAGCTGAGTCGCGAGCGAGAGAGGCTACTGGCCGAAGATGCTTGGAAGACTGAGGAACTTAATCGAGCTAGGGAGGAGATTGGTTGGCTCAGTAGACTGGCCGATACCTTGGAGCTCGAAAAGTCACGACTTGAAAACCGAGCTAACTCGATGGCTAACGAATTGAAGCGGGCAGTCGTTGATCTGCGAACGGTGTCTACGGCTTCCTCGCAAGGTCTTGGTTCTTCACGCGATCTTAGAACGCAGCCGGTTGCCTCTTATCAAAGTCACTCTTCATTACGATCCCCAGTGGCCGATACTTTCACTAGCAGGAAGAGTGATAGTGGTTCTCAAGGTCGCTCAGTTCGGAACTCTTCTCATTTTCACAACTCTCACTCATCCACCCCTCATCGCGTCCGGCAAGAATCTGTCGAATCTGATAGCACGGTCTGTCGTTTGGGCCCGAGTCCCAAGCTGCAGGTGTCTCGGTCACAGGCCAACCTGAAGAACCCCTCATCGAGCTGGCGAGGACATGACCCCCAGGCGTCGGAATCGCCGGTAATCAGCCCAAGGACGCGTGAACTCAATCAACCCCAGCGGAAGTCGCCTGCTCAGCGCTCTATGCCTGACTTTCGATCGCCCCTCTCACCATTGAAGATACACTCTCAACGGCCCGCGCGTCATGAAAAATTGAGCAGTCGTCAGGTGAACTCTCGCCGCCGTCCAAGTGACGCCCAATCCATCTCGTCTGCACGGTCTCACACGGAGGAGCACGACGAGGAGATCGAATCAGAAGATGGGTTTCGTGAGGATGTGATCATGGAAGAAGAGCAGGAAGAGCGGGGCTCTCGGGTCGACTCTTGGGGCCAACATGAACTCGACAGGAGACACTCAAGGACCAACTCCGAATCATCCCAGGCCATCTCTCCTAGCTCCACTGTCTTCGCCGACCACCATCGTGACCATAGCTCCCGCACAACCACCCGCTCCAGCAGCTCTCAAGACCGTCAGGACTATGGCTATCGGAGCTCGTTGGTCAGCTTGCAATTGAGACCTGAAGACGAACTGTTCTTGGAAAACTACCTGGAAGAGGATGCTGATGGCCTCGACTCTGATCTCGATTATTAACCTTTTTCATATACGCACCCTCAGTCTACATATCTTCATTCTTTCGAATCACATCAATCATTAATCCAATGCTTTTTAGACTCTCACTATCAAACTATGTTCTATCCATTATATCCTAATTGTCTTTTTTTAAGTTATCATGAACACACCAATGAGGGGCTGTTTAGTCTATCTCATGTATGTGTCAGTTAGTTATTTTTTGGCACCCTTGCATGTTTTTTTTGAACTTTTTTTTTTGGGAGGGCATTTTATTTGGGTTTATTTGTATTGGATCGGGGATGAGTTTCTTCACGTTGCATCATTGAAACAAATTGGGAAAACAAAAAGGGTAGTGTCCAGATATTACTTGTTTTTTGCCTGACAGGGTCAAAAGCATCATTGACCAATTCAAAGCACTCAAACTTATCAATTTGCTCATTTCTGGTTTGAGTCAAAGCATCAACAGGCATGTGGGCCTATTTGGACCATCCAAGAGTACAATTTGATACAAGACTAAAAAGTTATTTGCATAAGAATTCAGATTCTTGATGTGTCATTAGAAACATTATAGATCAGTGATTAACCATCCAAAAAATTGAGAAGGCTAAATGAAAAAACCTGTTTACATAAATATCATAAAGAATTCATTTGTTAATTGGTGCAGACAATTCTCAAGAAGATTAAGATAATATGCTCCAAATCAGAAGAGTTAAATAAGTAGAACAGAGAGGAAATCAGAAAGAACAGAAAGCATATAGTGGTAACAATAGTACTGAGAATTTTGAAGCTGAAGAAAATGTTAACTTAAGGTGTGAGGAATTATTAAGAGCAGGATTTGATGTGATGTATTTCTTTTGCTTGTCTGGGGAAGCTACTTCCACTGGTGCTTTATTATCAAATCCGCTCTTGCTCAGCATATTAATGCATTCTTGTTCAGATTTACATCTGAGGCCTGGCAGATCCTGCAGAAACTTGTCTGTATTTACCCCGCTTTGTGAAGCAAGTGCTATCATGTTATAACTGTCCTTCACACCACATTGGAAGCACTTTTTGAGGGCCTGCATCCTCGCACAAAGTTCAAGAGTCCAGGGTATCAATTTCAAAGACCAAGCTTAGTAAAAGTGTGCAGAATATTGGAGAAGGTTTAACTTACATGTGCCAAAGCTGCTTCTATCGCTGGAAGATCGGATTCCAGTCTGTGAATTTGAAGGTTCAGAAAACCTTTAACACTTTCAAAGTCAGGTTTTTTTAGCAGAGGGAATTTCAGAAAGATAAATTTGAGCAGCAATATTAGCAAAAAGAACCAAATGAACGGGTAAGAGTTCAAGACCTTCGCATTATGAATTCAAGTAAATCGTAGATGCTTCACAAATGTCAAAACTTACGTTTCCAACTCTCTGATCGGCCGATTATGTTTCTTCAAGTCATCGCTTCTTAACCCCATCCACACAGAGTCGTAGAGTTGTTGAGATGTTTTCAGGAATGCTAATTTTTCTGGTCCATCTGTTTTGGATGCTTTGAATCTTTTGAGCGCAAACCCTGCGGGTGAGTTTTGCGTATCCCTCGCAAAATCTATAGATGACTTCTCAGTAAAAATTCAAAACCAATCCATTGATCAGACTTCCAGACCTCACAAAATACAACAGACATAACATCTATCTTAATTGAAAGTTGGCTCACATATTTGATTCCTTCGAAGAACAAGTCCGGGATTGGTGGAATGGACATGGACTAAGGATGCACCGTTGCGGGTATGATGCCAAACAGTCAGTTGGCTTGCCAAGGTTCAAACGAGCTGCTGGTTGTGATAAAAACTTACGCCATCTTGAGTGCAAACAATATTTGGGTTTGTCTTCAACTGAGGTGGAAGTTTCAACGGATCTACGATGAAGCATCCTTTCTTATCCGCGAGTGAGTTGGATGTGACATTTCTACCAGGAATCCTGTCCGGCTCTGTTGATTTGAAGTTCATTCGCAGACAGTTAGAGATCTTGCACGAATATATGGATGCCACAAGTAGCTCAATAAAATCTGAAATACACACCTTGTCCCAAACATCCTAAAATTGCAAGCCCCATAACGGAAAGGGCCAACCAGCATTTCAGTGTTTGGATACACTGAATGGGCATCGCGCTTTCAGTCTTGGAAGAGCAGATGTTGGAAAAAAAAAGTCAAGAAAGGCAGCACAGCATGGAAAATTCATGGGTGGGGGTGGGATGCTTGATAGCCCAGGATGTGTTCACAACCATGCCGTTGGGTTGATGATGGCTGACAACTCATTGGGTTCTTTTGTTGAAAAATTGAATGAAGATGTTGTTACAAGCTCTTGTAGAGCTACATAATTGTAGTTCAAGCTTTAAATTTTAGCATTCAGTATGTGCGGTAACCAGAGGAGCTGTGCCGGCAAGATAGCTGAAGGAATGGAATGGTCAATAAGTACACATGGCAACACAAGCTGTCATATCCGCCGAAAGATTCATTTCCCTTGAGACTCATGACACACCGAACACTTGCTGGAAGTGCTACAGTTCATTAATCAACCTATCCAAGGCCCCATTTGAATCCCGCGACTCGTGAGTTATGTAATTCGACCCAGAAGTTACAAACCTCCACCCTCTCATTCAATCGTCATGAAGGCGACATGGAGAGCATTGAGCTTCATACAAACTTGTTACCTGATGAGGCACGCCGAACGCAAATTTCGCATTCACTGGTACCCGCGACCAGCTACCCGAGGGAATCCGGCTTATAATTTGGCCTGATTATTATCTATCATTTATCCATGGACCTTGGTGACTTTGTCCTCAGACAAGGAGTAAATACTCAGAACTTTGGTTTCGATGAAGGAACCACGCCTATAGCTTTTGTTTGGGATCACTGGAGTTTGGCACAGGTACGCTGATCATACATACACATTGTTTTCATACAAATCATGGGCAAAGAGTAAAAGTCCTTACTCTAAGGCCAATTTCATATCAAAGTTTGTAGGCTTTCCAGAAAAGAGGAAAGAAATGAAAATAAAGAAGAAACTACGGATGTACATAGAGATATTGATTTCCTCACTTAGAAATATGTACAATATTATCATGGGAATAGAAAGACAAGCGGAGAAGCAACCCAGTCCTTGACGACCGAAACCAAACGCTTCCTCCGTAGACTCCTTATAATAACACATATAATGAATCGTATTGAAAAAATTGAGAACGTCCGGAGGACGAAATCTGTAGCCAAAGGAAACCATTCAGTTACAAGATAGCATACTCACTTTCATTGTAAGCTCTCCTAGAACCGGACTCTCGGTCCCTGTATGACAATAAAGTTTTAATTCAGGAAGTTCGACCTTGTTGTAAGCGCACCTCACTCTTCACGCTGCGGAAGCCTGGGGCATTCGATTTTTTCGCTTGCTTTTTATGTTTAGACCGTCTGCTGAGAAGTGATTCTACTTTCTACTGCCGTGTTCTTTGTTTTTCTCTCCGTGGTTTAATCCTCATTATCGAATCAGCGACGCACATCAAATAACGTGGACCGCTAGGTGAGAAAACATTTAAATCAATCCAAGGCCGAGCCAAGGACACTTCTTTTGGATATCAAGCTTTGCATGCTGGCTAAATTCATCTAGTTTTGATGCAGCAAGATGATTTTACATTATGACATACTTTATCTGTGCACGTTGACTATTGTCTTGGCAATTCCATCACCAGGTCAGTGTGTCTCTGGTCAAAAGAGAACAAATCAGGTGCTCACGTATTTCTACAACTGGTTGGATAACAGCACCACACCCATTTCCAAAAATCGAAGTTGCCGAATCGGACGAGATCGCGATATTCAATGCGAAGCCATGTTTCATTTTGGGCCCGGGCAGAGTTCCTTTTAAACCAAATCCTGAAGTAACTTGCATTGAGGATGGGGTAATGTGATTTTCTCAAAACTCAATATGGGAAAGTGTAAGAGGCTTACACCCTTCGATGGTTTCGGTCTTTCCATGTCATGTTGTTCAGATAAGGATGATCCCTCCCATACCAGAATTATCATACAAAGGAATCAACTACGTGGGTCAGAGTCAGACTAAAAATTAGTACCAGCCTCATCAACACATTAGTGCTGACATGCCATTTGCGGTTTGGTTAGTCGGCTATACATTATCGTCCAAATCTCATCACGACGCCAGTGATGTCCGCATTTCAGATCTTTGCTATCGATAACACGAAAAGAGTCCCAGAGCAGATTGCGTTCTTGACCAACTCTCGAGAACTGTATATCTCAATGGACATTGCGATAAGGAGCCTAGGCAACCAGTTACCATATAGCGGGGGTCACGTACGGAACTCCAGAGCGTGTGTTCACATTTTCACTTCAAAAGGTTTCTTCCAGCGTGAATTGAATAAACAATAAACAAAATGGCTTGTTTCTCGTTGTGATAGGATAAGCAAAGTTCTTGACTTCCAAATTGCAAGATTAGAAGCAAAGATTCCGGCTATTGAAAAGGCTCTAGAAAATGTGAACACACTCGCTCTCATAATTTTCCCTTCGAATGCGAAACAAACACCTGCTGATACATTTTATTGAAAACGGTAGATGCTGAATTACTGTGCCAATTGCAGTGTAAAAGAACGATTCGACATCATCATGCGCGCCGGCGAGAGCGGGATAATCGTAGACCGATTCCTGGATAATCTTGATAAGATTGGATGTCTTACAAAAGATCAATGCGAGGAAGAGAAGAAGAAGCTCAACACGGTCAAAAAGCCCCCCTCCCGTTAATGCACGAAAACAAGACAAGTCAGACACCTATCAACTCTGGATTATCTTGTTTAATTTGCTTTCTGTTATGGTTTCTGATAAACTAATTTTGATAATATTCATCCATGTCTGTTTGCGACGCTGTTCAAGTGTTTTCATCAATAATATTATATCAATGTTCCATGAGAAAATAGGCTGCATAAAATCTTGTGCTACAAGAGCCTTGTAAGAATGCGCGGACTTGATCGGAGTTTGAAAGTTTCATCACTCAAACTTTTAATCAGGTCAAGAAGAAGGTTCAAAGAGGAATTCCTTAGAAATCTTTCATTAACCACTGCTGCCCTGAATCTGCAGCTTGGTAAGATTTTATTTTAACCTCAGCCACCACAAAATTATTAATTTTTGATTATATTTTATTTATTGGATAATATTTGGAAGTTTTCAAAAGCAAAAATAGTTACATAAGAAAGATCGGACAAAATTGTGATAGTTGTATTGGTTGAAGCTGAAAACTCGATTGAATAAAACATGTAATGCTTATGCTACTTTTTCAGAATTTTTTTCACCTTTCTGAAAACATATCTACCTCCATGACAAAATTTACCCATTGCTACATGTATTGCATTCTCCCAATAAAGTTTGTCATCCTTGAATATTTTATTGAAAATTTCTGGTGCTTGATCTTTCAAGAAATAACCAATCAAATAAAGAGATACATGAAGAATCTTTGAGTGGGAATTCAAATCACTAAAATAATCAATCAAAACTTTTTGAGGTTCAGAATATTCTGAAAGACTGAGAGGTTTCTCATCAAAACTTTCTCTATCATTCAGGAAAAAGTCTCCAAAAATTGGTAGCTTGTTAGTTTGTTTTGTCATCAATAATTCATGCATCCACCTGTAGAAGTATTTCTTCCTTGTGGACTCCTTGGATTTGAAATATCTGAACATGTGGTTTCTTGACAAAATTATAGAGCATGCATTTAAGTGAACTATCAGTGAATTTAATTTGGAATTGAGAAGTGTTACAAAATTCCTTTGTCCTTTATCCAAAATATCAACCCACAGGAATCCTCTCAAATTACCACCTTCTTCATTCCTTATAATTGTGATCTCAACTGGTAGACTACTTCCTTCTGGTGAAATCAAATCAGTTTTTCTTTTCAATTTTATCTTAGATGAAAGAATTTCAAACTCTTTCAAAATGTCTTGTTCTTCTGCATCAAAGATATTTTGTTTTCTTTTGTTAAACATAGAAGGCTTCAATTCTTTGGGAAATTTGTCAAATTTGACGAGCATGAGTTCACCCATTTTATTGATACCTTCATCAGCTTCTTCATTATCAAGTCTGTTGATTTTTAAATATTCTATTCTTGAATTAGCAAGCTTCAATTTTTTATAATTTTCTTTTTCAATTTCTTTGATTCTAAAGATTTTTACTCCTGAGTTGACAGCTGAATGATATGTTAATCTCATCAATTTCTGGTGTAAATTATTTTCCAGATAAATCTTATTGAAAATATAATCCCTAGCTTCAGGTTTGAAATTTTCATAAAACATTTGTGTTAGCAAAAGAGCAGTCTTCAGATCCTTGTTTTGTGTTATATCTTTTGATAGATATTCCAGCAATATTGATTGGGTTTTTCCAAATTCTTCCCCTTTTGGAAACTTGTTTATATCCTTGATGGTTCCAAGAATAGGAAAACTTTTTTCATTTGAATGAAATGACTCTTGAAAAACCCAATCTACTAGCTCATGATGAAACTTTGAATGATCCTGGTATGTGCTTAATTCCGGTTTCATATCAATCAAAACTGATTCATTGATGAAGATGAGCCATTTGATCAATTTTCGGAACTTTCTATAAAATGTATTAGTTCTAGATTTCTCCAGTTCTTCTTTTCTGGTAAAGGATTCTTGCTCAATTGAAACCCTGGTCACGTATGAATTTTTATTCTTGCACCATAGTATCCTTACTGGCAATTTCCCTGTATACTTGTTATTTTTTCTTCTTGCAATGTGCTTTTGATCAGAAAGTATTATTTTCAATTCTTTTTCAAATTTATTGGTGTATTCTCCAAACATCTCCCCATCATCAGTCTTTATTTTGGGGAAGTGTGCTTTTTCAACCCAGTCTTCAGGCGTGAATGATGGAATTAATTTCACATTGATTTTTTTCTGTTTATTTTTAGCAATCACATCCTGATTCTTTGATGATTGGGTTTCAATTTGCATTGGAGTGCTTATGTTTGTATCAACTTCATGTCTTCCTCTTTTATTTTGAGCTAATCCCTGGTAATCATATGTAAATTCCAACTGATTGACATTTGTCTCCCCTTTACCTCTGATCTCATTTTTATTAAAATCAAATTTTAAGTTTTCAGATTGATTTTCAATTTGGATTGGAGTACTTTTGTTTGGATTGATTTGAATTTTTCCTCTCTTCCCATGATCTAATTCCTCATAATCATCTGGCAAAGCCAACTGATCTCCACAGTTATTATTAAACCGGGATTCATTTGGATGATTATGACCAGATTGAGGAGCTGCTTGGTTATTTGTGGTAGAGTGTATTTTGTTATTTATGAAGGAAAATTGAGCAAAGATTATCAAGCTTGGTTTGAAACAGGATGGAAATCTTCAAAATCCAATTTCCAAACTCACCCTTTTCTTTGTGATTATCTGCAGTTTGAAATCCAAATTTAAAGGAAGTTGAATGGTGCACTTGGTCTTGCAAGCTGTTGTTGACCTGGCTAGAAGAAGCATCCATGATCATTGTTTCTGAAGAAAGCATGAGGGACTTATTTTAGTATCAATTTCTGACAGTTCTTGTCAGGTAAGAATTAGAATTTCAAGTTTCACACTCACCTATGTAATCTTGACCCTCTCTGAGTAGCAAATCAGTATATGATTGTGAATCATCTGAATGTTGGCCAGGAATATGATCTTTGATCTTTCTTGGAAATAAATCCATCAAGATTGGATCTGTTAGGAAAAAGAAAATTGGTACTTGTGTTTACTTTAGTGTGTGTATCACAAGCCAAGTAAGAATTGAACTAGAATTCTGAGCAACTTGCCTCTGTTGTTTTGATCAACTTGAAGATGCTCAAAAGTCATTCTTGCCTGAGGTGGTACATCTTGGGCTTTGAATGACGAATGGAAAGTATGTGATGTTAGAGATTACACACAGGCACAGCTTAAGGTCAGAAGTTTGTTAAACCTGGACAGACTGGACATGAACAAACGGCTTTTCTTACCCTGCATTTTGGTTGGTTTGAAAATCTCATGAGTGCTGCCCAGAGATAAGTCACACGGTTGCAAAATTGGCTGCAACGAGCTTCCACTTCCGTGATCATTTCTTACAGTCTTTTTCCTTTTGCTAACATTTGTCAGCATAAGGTCTTCTTGATTGACTCCGCCAAGGGGAGCCAGAGACAAGCCGACTTGAAAAAAACTGTTAATTTTGGAAGCAACATGCGGAGAACGTGATGATCATCTTACCTTGGCTGTAATCATGTCCATCAAAAGCTGATACATTAGAATATCCTTCTTCTCTTTTATAGGTAACAAACCGATTGTCAGCCTGCCGTTTAACCCCCTGTTTTACTACTTCACCTGAATCCAAATCATGCCTGAAGACACAGTCTTTTGTTGGATCATGGAATGCCGATTGAGCTAGAGTAGCTCTCCAAGCAAAATACCAGACTGATGTTCGCCTAAGAAGATTCGAATGTAAACGCATTATTGGTTCCAGGTTCTTGGTACGAAAACTGTGGTGGAAGATTGGGAAATTAATTGCAGCTGCGAAGGCCTTTTCTCCCCCAGCCGTGCCTTGTGTGGGTTGACAGATACAAACCATGCAACTTGATCAAGGCACTAGCTTTGCACATGTGCTTGTTCGGGATAGTTTCATCGGGATCGGACGCTTGATGGTCCATTAACTTCTGACCCTGACGGGCTGTTTTAGGGTTTGATTCAAGATGACGGGACTCTTCATGTACGGACACTTCGACGCGGCACGTTTGCTTGCAGGCATGCCACTCCCTTATATGTCAGTTGGGGCTTTCAGCTTCTTCCTTTTTGACGGTTCTTAGTCCAAGATTACAAAAGACCACTTGAACTGACGGCCAGGGTCCCCATAAGAGGCTTTGTCGGAATGGAAAGAAAGCATCAAGTCAAGAGACTCCTGCAGATTGCATGCCCATCAAGCTCGTCCGTCCGCACACTTGAAGCTCTCCATCAGGCAAGAAAAATGCCTTACAAAACTTGCGCGTTGACGAACTGGCAGTGGCAGCGGATCCAGTTACCGTTGCCAGTTGCTCGCTCACAATCTGATGTTAAAACGAAAACAGGCGATTTCTTCCTACACAAAATAATCGATTTGGCCTGGTCATCGGATTCGGATTTGAACCGAATGGCCAATCCCAAAGCTAGTGATGAAGAACAGTGGATCAATGAGCTACATACAATATAGTAGGCCTACACATCCCGCCCGGTTGCCCCGTCATGAAAAGCAAATAAATAAGTTGTTCAATTGGGCCACGGGCCTGGAGCAGTTCAAGACCCGATTGGCAGCTCAGCTTTCGGCTGGATACAGAACATATACATGCTCCAAGAATGTAATAGCTCCTCTTGATCTGAAGTCGACATGGTAATTGGCACCAATAATGTCAACTGCCGATTGGACTCGTTACTCCGGTGAAATTCACCGGCCCAAGAACCCACGAAACAACCGTCAGTCCAGTCCAAAGATGAGTGCCAACCGCTTGGAGTTCAACGATGACAGCTTCCCTGAGGAATCTCGAGTATAAAGACCGGTTACTTTGGCAAAGTTTCAAATTTTTCCTCACCCAATCATTCAACTTCATTGAGCCAGTCTCCTTTAATCATAACCATTCTTACCTATTGAATAATAATTTCTACTAAATAATACCTTCTACTCCATTTTCGCTTTGAATCATTTCATAACCACCACTTTAATATCCTAAAACAACAACAAGCTTCGCATCCTTCCAACAACAATACCCAGATCTTATTCATCATGTTTTCAACACAACTCTCGACCATGATCGCTGTAGTAGCATTGGGCTTCACATCCCTCACGAACGCCGCCCCAACTCCGCAAATAGGAGGACTCTCAAACTACAGCAACGGAGGACAATTCGGGAACTCTCAACGCGGTGCCAACGGCTTCGGCGCCAATGGGTATAACAGTGGTTACAACGGCGGCCAGGCAGCAAACGAGGGCCAATCAAGCTCTAACTCATTCCAACAATCATCTGGCACATCAACTCAATCCTCTGGAGGAGCTAGCAACGCATTCGGTTCCGGAGGCGCATCCGGTTATGGTGCCAATGGCTTCGGCTCGAACGGTGCAAGTAACTTCGGCTCTGGGTACGGCAGTGGCTCTTCTGCAATCGGCGGTGGCTTAGGATATGGCGGTGGCCTCGGTTATGGCGGTGGCCTCGGCTATGGTGGCGGGCTTGGCTACGGTGGTGGTGGTGGTTATGGAGGAGGCGTAAGCTTACTTATCTCATAATTTGATCTTGAAACAACAAAATCTAACCTAAATTTGCTAAAATTTTCAGCTCGGCTATGGTGGAGGTCTAGGTGGAGGATATGGCGGCGGATATGGTGGTGGCTACGGTGGAGGATATGGTGGAGGACTTGGTGGAGGCTATGGTGGAGGATACGGTGGAGGTGGAGGTGGAGGATTTGGCGGAGGCTACGGCGGCTATTAGTCTGCATTGCCCCTTCCCCTCCTTCTTTCTACTTCTTTCGACCGGTCTCTTTCTGGGCGTGCATGGGTTTATAGGGAGCACTTTAATTTGGACAAACAAAGCATCTTGTAGCATATTCATTTTCAATCCTCTTGATCTCTTTTTTAAATTTTTTGGATTTTTATTTTCTTATTGGAATCTCAGCATCACTCCACATTCACGGCTCATTATTCATGGCAGAGTACTTAGGGACCACATTGACTTTTCCATAGGCCAGACCTAAATTTGCAAATCAACGCATGCCTCTAAGTTTTTTTGGTTCTGTTTCCTCAGAAATTAGGTACCGCCGCCGTTGTCTATTTGTCCACGCTGAGAGTGGCGACTCCTGTGATATGGAGAGTCGTATGAAACAGGGGGTCTTGGGCTCGTTCAAACGATGATGATAGTGAGACAAGCTGGCTGCTACTAAATCACCCCAAATCTGCGACGAAAAAGGTCCAATGAGATTCATCGCTCCAGTGCTCGTTGATGAAGCTCTTGCCTGGCAGGTCTGGCCGATGATCGGAATCCGGACAGATGAACTGATGTTAGTCCAACAAAAATTGGCTTTCTACAAATGACGAGGCTCTGGTATCGAATGATGTGCGGGTCTTAGGCATTTGATTGATGGTCCGAACAAATGATAGCTGCTCGGATGTCAAGATACAGGGTTGGACTTGAGAAAGTCTCGTGATAAGTTATAACTAAGTAGTGTATCTTTAAGTTCTAGTGGCTTCACCAAACTGGCCGGTCAGGGCCGGTTTGTAGCTCCGACGGGAAGGCTTGAGGGGAGCGCCTCCCGGCGGCCGGCCCGAGCGATGGTCTATTATGACGTAATGAGCTCATTCCTGCCCCGTTTTAAACGCTCGCAAGTGCATAGTGGCAATTTACACACAGCTATTATGTACTTGCGCACGCCGAGGGACGACGTGTGGTGTGACAATGGGCGGTGCGGACTCGCGGAGGACGGCCGGGCGAATGACGATCGGAGACAACCCACATACCTGACTGTAGCGGAGGGGTTGGCCAAACAGAAAACAACCCACAAACACCGATCAGAACAAGTTTCCTTGCTCTCCGGATATCAGTCTCAGCTTTTATCATTCCTCACTTGGAGTTGCAATGCGGCAAGGTGGAACTATCTTGACAGTAGGTCGATTTCTAGCTCATATCGAAGGTACCACTTATACTAACCGCTTACTTGGCTCCAATTACTTTTTCCAGGTCAATGGATCCCAGGTAGCATTCATACATACCCTCTTCGCCCTGGGGGCTTTCGGTACCGCGTTGGCTCTTGGGTGCTACCTACACTACCAGAAAATTGTCAAAAATGAGGCAAGTCTTTCACTACGGAACCGACCGCTTTGATGATGCCTAGGTTGACAATTATGTATACCCACATTTTTGATTTCGACAGTGGTATTCGTACCCTCAAGAGTGGTTTCCCTCAGTTAGTGCCACGATGTAGGCAGCACTTACCTCTCAGCCAGCCTCGTTTATTCCGCACTCATCAACTTCCACATTACAGAGGCGATTACTACCCAGAAAGACCGATCTTTCAAATCTTGATTGCATTCAACTCAGGACCTCGACTTCTTCTGGTTTACCTAACTTATGCTTTTCAAACCCATTTTTCTGGCAAAACCTCGACCACCGCTAGCAAATTCGTGGCTCTTTGTGGTTTTCTGCGCACAGTTTCTTGTGGGGGATGGGTTTACATCACAAGTAGTGACGACCACTTCTGGCACGATGTGATGATGATCTCGTAAGTGAACTTGCTCTCCGCACTCACCAACAAGAACGTTGCCCGGTTTAGCATCACCTTGGAATCTGACATTCATCAAATCATTCCAGCTATATTATTCTCACTATCCCCTGGCAACTCGGCAATGTCGTCCTTTCGCCCGACGGAGTATTACGAACCGGTAACAAGTATCGCAGGAGGTTCAGCGGCCTATTCTTCCTCAGCATAATCCCATTGGTGTACTTTTTCCTGCAGCACAAAGTAAAGCGGGTCCCAGGTGGTTGAGTCATTGATTTCCTCTGGTCCATTCCAAACTCATGATCTTTCAAAAAGGAAAGCTGATCCGAACCTCCATTACGCGCCCCTTCTCGATCATCTGATTCATCCAAAACTTTTGGCTCTTTTATTCAATCCGACTTCTGTTATTAGCTTACACATACGTAAGTAATACAAGAATAGATCTTCGGCACCAATGGTTTGCGAACTGATCGTGTGTTGTACGATCTTGGCCAGTATGCATTCATCGAATGGAGTTTGATTTGTGAGAGTATACCTTTTCGTGACTCCTATGACCAGTAGCTAATGTGCAGCTGTTATGTGTAGTATATGACGTCCTTTACGATTCTAGCACGATTATCGACTTTGTTCATTTTGATTTTGTCGTGACTGCTTCACCAAAGAGCAAAGCTGATATTGCAAGGAACCTGCTTGGCAGTGAACGCACTCTTTCGCAGGGGACCACTAATTCAAATCCGCCAGAAAAGCTACGCAAGATGTATGTCGATTGAACTTGATCCCATCAAAAAACTAAACAACTAGGTCTTTGGCTACCATCCTATCATCGTTGTCTCCTTAGTCTCTTGTGTCTCTGCATATTTTGATTCTTGCTCTCTTTCAAAATCCATTATCTTACAACTATCCAGACCCCTCTCTCTTCATTACCTCTTTCACAACCAGTAGAAGATTGATGATCGTTTCTCTTAAAAATTCCGTGTATTAAAATTTATCACTTTTAGAGCTTGCAGACCCTCTGTGAACAGCCTTTCCAGGGAATCCAGTTTTAGTGAAACCATGCAATTCAGCGCACAAGTTTATTTTGGTATGTTACATATTTGATCGACAATATAACTCAGTGGTTTGGGTGACAGAGATGGATGGCCTTGAAATTCCAATCTGGAAGACATGATGTCGTTGACGATCTTTTTTCTTTCTTTCCCTTGCTAGGCTTTGTATTCTGGACGACGCTTACCGCAGTCGGGCCAGTAATATTCTACTTTTCGGTTTGGAGCATGGTAAAATATTCCCACCTGAGATCGTTCCGGCATTAGCATGAAGCCATGTTATCTAACCACTGTTCACTTTCGTTTGCAGGGCTTAGACGGCCAGGAGGTCTTGTTATTTGCAACTGTGGCACCTTTCATACTTTGCTCGACACTCTGTAGAACTTTCTTCCTGAAAATCTTGCCCATTATTCAACTCTCATCACTATTGAGTATCGGGTCATACCTCGTGGACCGGAAATTGTTTTATGACGATGCGGTACTTCGACTTCAGCTCACCACCATAGCCATCGGGCTCTGCACGACCTTTCAAACCTTTAAACTATTCCAGAGCAAACTTCAGGGCCAGTTGGAACTTCAAAAGTGCTCGATGGCTTTGGGAATTGGGCTAATCGCCAGCGTGCTGCTCAAGTATGCCAACTACTCTTTGAACCCGATGTGGCCAATTATGAGGAAAAACAACGGCGGGTTTCACAGAATGGGACTCATCTTGGGTATTCTGAGTAGTCTCTTTCTGCGCTCTGGCTCCGACATGAATAGCGAATCCGCACTAGAGGAAGAAGATTCGCCCATTTCGGATAGCTCGCCGCGTTCGTCTAGCCCTGCCGGCTCATCGCGTTCATCAAACTCAGCAGACTTACCTCCTACGATCACTCTCGACCCGCATGGCCCCGTTTGGTGGAGAGCAGTTGCAGGATTTGGCGGAATCATGTTCATAATCCACACACTTTTTACGGATTCAGGTACGATGATTGCGTGGGTATGGGACGGCTACCCAATCACTGGACCGCTACCGCTTCAACAAGGCTGTTGGATGATCTTGGCGATGTGCATAGGTCTCTTCTTGCCGCTGATATCTGGGGACGAGATGCTTTGCCATCCGCAATGGTTACTACTAGGATGCACTTCGGCTTTTGGTCTATACAGCTTTCACGGGTGGCTTGGATTTGCGGCTGGCCTTATTCTTTGCATCTTTTGCCTCAGCATTTTTCCCAGATATCTCCAGGATCTTGTGACCAGCTCTCAATCGGGTGGCTGGTGGAAGGTAGCTGCTGGATTCGGTTTCGGATACCTGATATACGACATGATGGAATTATGTCACACCTTCACGGTAGCTTATGCCTTCGTGCCACTGGCGGCGAGGTTTCGGGAACGGACGGATGCAATACTTCTTGTCACAATGACTCTCATCGGTCTAGGGTATTTCCAACCTCGCGGAAATGATCAACCTTCCAACCTGTTGCCAAATCCTAGACGGAATCATTGGATTAAAGTTATGAAAATGATTTTGGGTCTGCTGGCCTTTACCTCAGTCATGGTGATGCTCAAGCGGACTACCTTCAAAGCAGATATCAAGCCTTACCACCCGGAAAACAGAACCTTCAAAGCTGGAATCTGGACCGTCCATTTTGGAGTTGATAGGTAAGTCGAAAGTCTGGATGGTCGTAGATTATGCCATCGAATTATTTTCTGTCCCCAACTCATTTACTATGAATTTATAATAAGGCTAATTAGGTGATCCATTCATCGATTTTTTACTTACGAATTTTTGAATTGCATCAGTGGAATGTGGGAAAGTCAACGGAGAATCAAAGACATTGTGGAAGAATTGGAACTCGATGTTATTGGCCTTCTAGAGACAGATTTACAACGTATCGTAATGGGAAATCGTGATCTGTAAGTCCAGGCTTGAAGATATGTCTGTCACGTCAATCTATGTAGAGGACTCATCATTTCAAATCGTATTTCTTAAATTTAATGGGTGGCTGAATCCAGGACTCAGTATGTGTCCGAGGAATTAGGAATGCACGTGGATATCGGCCCGGGTCCAAACAAGCACACTTGGGTTAGATTCCTCTTGTAATCAGTAAATTGTTTGTCGCATGGAGCTGATGAGCAATTCTACAGGGTGCTGTGTTGATGTCAAAATTTCCAATTATAAATTCAACGCATCACCTTCTCCCCTCACCACATGGAGAATTAGCCCCAGGTAAGGTGAACATTGATGTCGTACAATTACAAAGGATGGCTGAATTCTTGACATTTTCATTCTAATACAGCAATTCATGCCACTCTTGACATGTGGGGCACCCATGTTGATGTAATTGTCAGTCACAACGGACAGGAGGAGGATCCCGTTGAGTTGAGTGATCTTCAACTCTTAGCGGTTCATTCTGGTTGGGCGGACATCAAAGTTGATTCATCATTTTTGTATCCAGCCGAACTTTGCAATCCACAAAACTGGCTGAGATTATGCGAACAGCTTACCCGAAGCCATTCGTCTTCTTGGGATACGTAGTTTCTCATCCGCATGCACCAAGGCCTGCCCCCTACCAAATCCTTGTGGAAGATGGTCGCATGCTGGATATCGAGCGTGGGGATACCGATCGATGGTGAGCGTGTTCCTTGGCAGTCAAATTGCAAGAATGCTTAACTGTTGCGCCCCCATATCTGAATACTAGGTGCGAATACATCCTATTCCGAGGATTGAAACGACTTGGTTACGCGCGTGTCACCAGAGGGTGAGTGTTTATCATACCCGAAAACATTTCTTGGCGATAGTGTGATTGACATAAAGTATTTGCACTGCCGCGTGCATAGTTCTAACCCAGCAGTAACCGATACCGAGCTACAGGTTGGCATGTTCCAAGTCCCACCGAGCTGGGTGACTGTCGACCCGGATCGAGACTCATCAGACTACCAGCGGGTTTCCCCAGATTTCATTGCCCCGGCGAGTAGATTTTCGTCCAAGGTTGATGGGCCTGAAGGGTTCAAAGGCCACCGATACCACGTGCTTCGGGAGCAGTTCGGAACAGATGTGGTTTACTATCGAATGTGATTAGAGGAAGCTCCCTGCGTCTGTATCTATTGATTGTGATTAGAGGATGCACATCTTTGATGACATGTAGTTTTGTATGAATATCACGACCGTCTATATAAAACCCATTTCCCTGCTTTTCAGTACGAATATGTAGGAGTCTGTCATCTCTACTGGTGCTTGTATCCCCTCTTGTTTGGCTGTTTGACAGTTAGCTTCTAATGTTTTGACTAGGATTAAATCTGGGCCTTTCATTCAAAACATACATACTATTTCAGATCATTATTATTATCAATCAAGATGTGAATACAATTGCCTAAGTATCTGCAGTTAGGTCAATTTTTCTTTCTTGGATGAAGGCTACACTTTGTTCATTGAGCTCTTTCAATGTTACATTCTTACCAGTGTGTGCCATTTTGGGTAACTTGAGTGGCCTTTGAATACTCAAAATTGCCTCTGTTCCTGAGATGCACATCTCAAATTTCACAAAAGCTGACCGGATATGAATCATCAGCACACTGGTTTGAAAGGTGCCACCAGAACTGAAAATACCCCGATTCCACTTCCAAAGGTTTCATTTTTCATATTGCATGTTAGACAATCACCTGGATTTCTGCTGGTCATTTCAATGTGTGGTATTGGATTATGGAAACAGCTTTTCCAACAGATAATTGAATAGGCTTTTTGAACATGACAAATGCTTTTATCAAAGGGGTACTTGCAGATTTGGATTGTAATATGTATGACAAGCTTGATATACAACTTCTAGAAAATTCAAGAATGATTAGTAATCATATTTGGTAAAATTGTGCAGCATCTCAAAAGTAGGATTACTGGGTTTTTGTACTTGTCTGTTTTTTGTGCAATTTGAGTAGCTCTCAGTGAACTATGGGGGCTGGATTGTGCAACTATTGTGAAATTGTAAGCCCTGCTCCTCACAGGCTTACACAAACCTGTCACAAGATTACATAAGCCTGTTTTCACCTTGTATTTAGTCTCACCCTTCTCCTTTACCTAGACAGCAGAGATTCTTCTCTCCGGTCTAGGTAAGTACCCCTTCTTGTTTCCTTGTCTTCTCATTTCCTTTTCTCATTTTCCTTCACTTGTATATACTAACAAAAGATTCTTCTCTCCAGTCTAGACTGAAATAAAAGACACATTGGTACTAGAATCTTCTTCGTGGAAGCTATTGAGCTCCTTCTCTAGTGCCTCTCCAACAGACAGTGAAGGACTCAACGGAGTCCTTACATAAATTGTTTTGGAATTGTTGGGCAACCTGGACCTACAGGGGAGGACATTGGGGACCTTGGTCCTGGTGAATAATACAATCCCATGCAACAGGGATTGCAAAAGTCTTGTGTCCCTATGTTTTTCATCTGAAACTTTTGTCAAATTTTGATTTTTTTTGCAAAAGTGTTGTCAAACTTGCAAAGTTGATAAGTTTTGCAACTTTTTTGAAGCCAAACCTTAAAGGCACCCCTGTGCTGTAGTCCTTTTGATCTTGAATATTGTGCCATGAGTGTTGTTTGGACAATATATCAGAACACCCAAAGTTGAGAAATAATGACAAAAATTGGATATAGTGAAGCTTGACTGAAATTTTTGACAGTATACTACCAAAACTCACCAAAAAGTGAGTTTATATATCTATCAGGCACTATTTTTGCCCATCTGTGTTTTGCTACCTTGCTACTTTGTTTTGGTATGAATTTTTGACAAAATACCACCAAAGCAGCCAAAATAAAATAAACTATGATTTCTGACAGTATGAGGATTTTTTTAGCTTATAACCAATGAAATCTCAGAAGAATAAATAAAATAAATTTGTTAGCAGACCTCTGTTGCCCAGATACAACCTTAGGATTACTTAAAATGGCTGTGGAATGTTGACCTGGGAAGTGATGTGTCAAATTTTAATTTGGTATCAAATTATTGGTTGTAACTGTGATTATATGGAAGGGACCCTGACTGGTCATCTTTATCATCCAGAAAGCCCCACTTTTTAAAACCTTCTTCAATGGCAGCATCCCACCCTTTAGGCAAGTTGGATTCTTATCCAAACTCTCTCAGACTCTTGGCACATGAATGCAATGGGCCTTTTTCCCTGTGCAAGATTAATGGGAAAACATCCAAGTCTCCCCTCCTCTGAGACTGTGAGATCTGCAAAACATTCAAGTCTCTTCCCTTATTATTTTCCAACTTGTTTCATCTCATTTCCTCTCATGATTGGGTTGAATTTTTGCCTCTTTAGTTTCACCATCTCTCCCTCTGGTATTTTCCCTAAAAAATGGATTTTAATCCAACATTTGTTCATGTCCAAGCTTGAACCTTCTAAATCTTAGCCTATGCTTTGTCCCTCAATATCAAAATGGTTATTTCATCTTGCTCAAGCCCTTGCAATGACATCATTACGCTTGAACCTTCTGAATCTCTTGTACAGTCATTGCTCCACTCAATCCTTTTTCTTTTTCCTTATCATCTACTCTTGAAGTGTTCCAAAACACTTCTTTCCCTCTCCTCAGGAATAAACTCTTATTCGAATTCCTCATTCTCACTTTTCATTCTTCTCATCTACATACTCAACCCTTCCTCCCCTTCTTCTAACAGACAACTATTATCTTGTCTCACTCCACCTTTCTTATCACACATAAATTTTTGTTTACCAAACATCTTTCATCTTTCCTGTTCTACAAAAATCTTTGCCTATTGAACATCGTTCATCCATCTCACTATCTAATCCACCTGATTATTCATAGCTCTTATCCCTTCCATTCACCAAAACTTGTTGACCCTCACTCTCCTGAACTCTTTTCATGTAAGGTTTCCATTACAGTTATTCTCTCATTTACCGTTCATGTATTGATCACTCTCTTTTGTAAGAACTTCTTCTTCCTTTCATTCTCATTGCTTTATAGCACTTGTTGCTCTTATCACTTTTCATCTCCTGCTTTTGGGTGATTGTATTTCTCATTTCTTTATTTCTCTTATTTGCATTTCCTTAAACTGGCATCAATTGGTTCACAATGTCTCCGCTCTAATCTCCACCTTTGAAGTCCTTGATGACACAGAGGATTCCTTTCCCCTCTGGTGTTCTAGACTCAATGATGTGCTTGGATTACAAAATACAATCGACATCGTGAAAGGTACCCTTCCTTGCCCAAAGTACAACAGTAAATTCAATACCACTGCTGTTAATGACTCCCCAACTGACTCCCCCAAAGGCTACTACCCAAAAGAGATCTCGGCCGACTGGGATGTGCTATTGGAGATGGCCTGCTCAACCATACGTCTGACCTTGTTGAATCCTCTAGCTCAGCAATACCGCAAAGTGAAACCAGTGTCTTGGCTCTACTCAACTATTGTAAATGTGTACAAAAAGAATGTGTGTGCTTGTCGTATTTGATTATAAAAAGTCTTCTGGGAAGCTCGCCATGATCCAAATGAGCCTATTGCTTTGTGGATTGGTTGTGTGAGAGTAGCCATCAATGAACTCTTGTCAATTGAGGAATTACCCACCAATCAACAGATTGCTGACCAATTATTGGGTGGACTCCACTCTTTGTGGTCTAACGTCCAAGATTCTGTGGTCTATACCGCTATCAAAATGTCCCTTGACAATGTAATTGGAGTTTTGGAAGCCCATGAGGTCAGCCTAAACGGAACAAAAGCATTGGACCTTGTCTCAGCCTCCTTTGCCGCCACCAAGCGATTTGCATGTGTAAACTGCGGAAAACGCAGTCACTGCTCCTCTGACTGCAAAAAGACAAAAAACCACGGTAAAGCTAAAGCTGGTGCTGTCACCACAGTCAAGCTGGGCGGTTATGACTCCGTTTCTTTTGACAATGAAGATGAAATCAATGTTATCTATGATCAGTAGCTGAACTCAACCAAAGTCAACCTTAATTTTCTTTGTACACTTAGAAATTAGTTTCTATGCCTACCTTTTGGATCATCTACTACATCTAGTACATTTTCCAATTTTTTTCCAGCTTATTCTCTCTTCTTACCCGAGTAAGACTTAGTTTTCAGCAAGGGGGGGGGGGTGTTGAGATACCCGTATGCAGGTCACATATGCTTGCATATAGGTATGCTTATACTAAGTCTATCAGGCCTATGCCTTTACTGGTTTCTCTTCAATTCCTGTTTCCTCACTTAATTCAATATCTTTCTCACTTTTCAACGTCATTGTGAGTTCCAGCATCTCCTTGAGTTCCAGTCACATGTGTTCCTCTCAACACCCCTTGGGAGAGGGATTTTTGTACATCTTTAAACAGGTTATGCCCTCATATGGAGTAAATTTGCAGCAAATTGAGGTTTGAGAGAAGACCTTCACTATGCCCCTATACAGGTTATGCAAAAAGGAGGGTATGTTCTTAGACAGGTTTGACTGTATTTGCATGGTATTGTTCACCTAAAACAATACATTGTTTTTTTTTTGTACTATGTATTGCCCTCCCCAATATATGTTATATTTTGTGGTTTGACTTGGCCAATGCATTTATTTGAATTGTATTGGACTGTATTGGGTGACCAATACAATATAAATAGAGGCTTGGCTAATCGACTCCCAAACCTGCTGGCAGGTTTGGGGGATCGACTCCCAAAATCGGGGGTTTTGGGGGTTTGGGAGTCGGCTCTCCAACTTTGGGGAGTCGATTAGCCAAGCCTCTATAAATATACCCAGCCAGTTAGTATTTTTAAATAATTACAAATATGTTTGCAGTGCAGGACTGCTTTCCAATGCAGTCAATACTTTGCAGATATCAGATAATGGGTTTAGATGCCCTTTTTAAAACAGGATCAACTTTAATTAAATGCAGAACTGGAGACTATTGGAAACACAATGTTTGAGGTATTGAATTATTCACAGCTACAGTTCCAAACAGTCTTGTCTTCATCTGTGCACCAGCTGTAAAATACTGTGAAGTAAAACACTGGATCTACTTCTGTGTTGAATCCCCTGGCTTTTCACTCAATATCATGCTCACTGCACATTTACATTGCTACACCACTTCACTTAGTTCTTCCAACTTCATGTGTCAATGGACGAAAGCCCAAGCAAGCTTGCGAATTTTCAATTCTGACCCAGCATAAGTTTGGGCACTGTTTGTTTTGGCCAACGATGGGTCTTTACTTTACAGATATTGGTATTGTACCGTTACAGTATTTTTTTTACTCAATAACCCTACGGGTTTTACCGCAATCCGTATCGGATTTTTCTTTACGATATCCCAGTTTGCGGCTTTTGTTTTATTTGCTTTTGATACAATAACTGAGATATGGGGATTTTTTTCTGTTACTGAGCAAATGGACCCATGAGCAATAACAAAGACGGAAAGAACAATTTTTTTCCCTGTTGTCTTCAGAACAAGACTGAATTGCAACAGCTGATTTGGAATTGGATGAATGTTCTGCCTCCGCAGGACGTTTGTGAGGAGCCGGCCGTGTTAATCTCACCCGCGAGTCCGATGATGGTGCCACCATTTTTGGTGCAATGACAAGAGATGAAGCTCTTGATGAGCGGTGTCGTTGAGTCTGAGAGTGATCAGTAGAATAGCTTTCAGTATTTTTACCGCTGGAGGGGTCATTCTGAGTGGATTTTGGAGTTTGTGAGGCCATGCTGCTTCTAGTATCTGGGATAAGGGTCCTGGGGATGCTAGCAGGGGTATGTCCCACATATAAGCAGGGGATAGCTCACCAAAGGCCTGCTGTCATCAACTTAGGGCTTTTTTATGCCTTTTGCCCCTGGTGGAGTTGGTTATTGTGTTAACCAGGGGTAAAACGGAAACCTATAACTATATCTGTATGAAGCAACCAAAAAATGGGTGCCTCAATACTATACTAGTTGCTTGGGGCTTGGTCCTTTACTAGTACCGGTATTAGTAACGGGTGGTCAAGCATACATTTACTATAACAAAAGGGGCTGGTTATCGTAGAGTACAGTAAAGACCCATTGTTGTTTTGGCCCAAAACTGATTCCCAAATGTCCCACACCACCACATACCATCCAGTAATTTGAATTTCCTCCTATAGTCTTCATTGTAATTATCATAGCTTCTGACCCAGGTCAAACAATTGCTCTCCCAATCGCCCCCCCCCCCCATTTGGAAAAATTGGGGTTTGAATCACTGCAAAGGTAGTAAGAGAGCTTTTTGACCACCAGAGTTTGTGGACTACCTGCTGCATACATAAAATTGTGCTGAAAAATGATAAATACCATATCCTAAAACATGGAAGCATTAGCAGCTTGAGCTGCTACCTTCAACACATTAAATTGGCCACCACACTTACTTCAATTTTGTCAGCAAAGTGGTTACACCATTGATTCCACCAAAAAGTATAATTCCAGATGATTTATTTTTGCATGAGGGCATACTGTGGATCACCAGAATAAGAAGGCCAGTCAGGGTCAGATCAAAGGTAGGTAAAAGATGTAGATTGATGGGGGGAAACAATTTCTTTGAAACACTGGATTAACAAGTTGGGTCTATTTCAATTTGGTAAGAAATTCCAGAGAGATGCTTACCATAATATCAACAGGTGGTTTCTCCAATGCTTGAGGGCCTGTTTAAAAATTTCAAAAGAACCAAGCATTTTATTTTCTTCACTGGATTTTTACCTTATTGGGAGATGAGCATTGAATAAATCTTACCCCTCTTCATCAACATCTTCCTGTGATTTGAAAAGTGTTAAGAGGTCACAACTCAATGGTAAGGTATTTGACTAAAACCCATCATGCATTGATGAATCTCTTTGATTTGATATATAGTCGTCTCCATTGATTAGATATACACATTTCATAGGCATCCAAATAATCATGTAAAATGATCAATTCTTTTCTACAACATAAAACTAGTTTATAATTATTAGAGTTAATTCAAAACCCCTGAAAGTTGGGATAAGCAAACTTACTCACATCTCCAAATTCAAAAGACTGGATGTGATTGTATTGGGTGGTCTCACAAGGCATCACATTTTTTTGAAACATAAATTGATGGTTTAATCATCAGTATAGAAAGTGATATGAGTTGGTATAGATCATTTACCTCAGAAAGCCACAACAAACAAGCAATAGCACTTAAATTGACCATTGGTTGGACAGTCCTCAACACAAACAGTGTAAGTTGGAGCTTTGATTGTTAGAATTGATGTGATTGGTTGGATTTTGAGAAATTACTAGCTCAGGAGGCCTGGCATCTAAACACAAAGTGTGAAGAGCACAAACCCCTGAATTAGCTGCAGATACCTGTAATAATAAGCATACTTGACTCCATGGCCACACAGTCCTGAGTTGTAAACTGATTTTGTATTTTCATGATCATAGATTAGCAATGACTACAGCAATCAAGCAGAAAAAGATACATAAGTCTATACAGGATATAATGACAAGCAACCCATCTGGTAAGCTGCAACATTCTATTCTGATTAAAACAGAATGACTCACCAAAATTTTATATATCCACAGTTAAAGTCAACATGGATGAAAATAGCCAAAGGACATCCATTTGTAATTTCCAAAGGTACATTGTGTATCCAAACAGCTGAAATGTCACTGAGGATAGAGCTGACAGAAACTTGTTTATTGTGCAAATATAACCAATATTTGGACTCATCTATTTTTTTGGGTAAAGTGGAGAAAGGTGGCAATATTGTATATAATCAGAAGTAATAGAAAGAGTGCTGCTAGTAAAACATCATTGTCCCATGCACCAACAGTGCTTTTGAAAGGTTTTCCTTTTTATTGTGGATAGTACAAAAGAGCTGCACTGGCCAATCTCATTTCATCTTATCTTATCCCTTATGACATTCTATCTAATCAACTGCAGTAACACTCTGACTCCTAAGTTTTTTTCATTTTTCATCTGTTTTCTATCTACATGTACTTGATTTGTGACAGTTTTCCATCCAACACAATTCAATCCTAGACTTTTGGATTGCCACAGATTTCTGGGTCAAGATGAGACAAATGGGTCATTGGAGCTGTATTTTACTTGGGCATAGCTTCTATAGGGATCCACCCTGTGTGTTCACAATGAAGGAGGAGGGATGTAAATGGGTTGGATTTGGGCCCAACAACAGTGTCCAAACCCAACCCAGCACTTTTTTTGGGTTGGGCTGGGTCAGACTTGAAATTATGTTGCCCAAAACCAAACCTGTCTTGGGACTTCTTGGGTTTGGGTTGGCAAGATGCACATTGGGTTTGGGCCAATCCAAGTTAACTAGCCTATGTAGAGTAAACATGATCAAACATTAACTGCCTGATTATCAAAATCACCTGTTCAAAACCAACCCACTGAGTTTCCAGTTTGGGCTTGGGTTTGAGCAATGTGATTTTCTCTTAAAATCTGCCTGAATGCAACCCATGTTCCATTGGGTCTTGGGTTGGCTTTGGGTCAGCCCAGACCATTTAAATCCTGATGAAGGAGTCTGGTGTATATCCACCAAAAGGAGCTCCAAACTTGGCTCTGGGTAAGGCAGATTCCAAGATTCTCTGATAAAAATGCAGATAGGTAAATATCATTTGACAGATGATTAATAAACAAATTTGGGCCAATCAAGCTACTCACTAATCATCCAGTGAGGAAATATTTACCACCAATTTTATAGACATGTCACATAATGAGAAATTGATCAGCTAGAATATTTCACTCATTTTCCCACTTTTTATTAATTTGATTTCTATCTTGTTTTTTCTGTTTTTCTGCTACTAATTTTCTTGTGAGTCTTGTTGAGGTTCACAGTTCTGTGTTCTGTTTCTCCTCTTTTTCTCTCTCTAGGATTCTCACCTTTCATCAGTTTCACTCATGTCACAGATGTGTGACACCCTTTTATGTAGTCACTCTAGGCTAGCAGACATATCATGGAAGTTCTCTTTTCCTCATCCTTCCGCCATCTGTTTCTCTGGCCTAGGTGAGTCCTTTTCCTTTCTCTTTCTTTTCTCTTTTGAGTGATGCAATGAACTTATCCTTCTGTGATGGAGTCTAGGCATCAGGATGGTTCATGGTGAAACCTTCAACATCATTTCTATAGGATTTATCATTGAAATCTTTTCCAAATTTTGAACCACTGAGATTGGTCTGAAAGTACTAAATACAGAGCTATCTTGAAGTTTCTGATTTTTAAAAGTGTGCTGAAGTTGATGTTGAATTTGCCTATGTGAACAATGGATCCAGGTTAAAAAAAGTTTTTTCTCATATTGTTTCTGGGTACCCATTCCATTAGCTGGTTTTTGGGCCAACTTAACAGATTCTCAAATGTTGGTTAAAACCACATTACTGAGGGTGGTTTCTCTAAGAAATCTCTTGTCTTGAAATTATAGCATGGAAACTCCAGAATTTCCCAACTCAAAACCATTATCAAACTCCCTCTCTCCCCCCTCCATGTTGATTGTTTTTGTCAGGAAGACAGACTCCTTCATTCAGGATTCTGAAGATCAGCAGTGGTTGGTTCCTGCCCAATGAGCTCCGTAACATCTTGATGAGTCAGAAAGCTCATCATCACCTGGGACATGCTGATTGCTGTATAAAATTCCCCAACAGCCTTCGTACATGGGCATGTACAGAAACACTTCACATTGTACGCTGGATATCCGTACAGCCCAGAGAAGCTGTATCAGAACAGTTCAGAGTGTATCTTTTTATCTGAGCTGTATCAATATCGGTCTGTATCATGGTGCTGTATGTCCGTCTACAGCTCCTTGAGCAATCGCCGCTGGATCTTCCTTGATCATCATGGAAGCTCCCACAGTCCTCAACCGTTTATCAAGGATGCCGACGGACACACAGGCTTTTTTTAATGACGGGCCGGCTGTGCTCAAAGAGCATCATCACCAACAACCTCTTGGTCTCGGTGTGTCTTTCTCCTCCCGTGTGCATAACCATGCTTCGTATATTGGATCAAGGCCTCGAGACTCTGGTATTGGGGTGCAGCCGGGTGCCAGGTCAGATGATCCTTTATTTACATGACTTGATCCCAGATTGGCAGGCCAGACGGACACGCTTCTTGTGATGGATACGGGATGCGCATCGCCCCCGGCCCGCCCGCCGGCTGCCGGCAGTGGCCTTCCCAATATGCACTCGGACTGATGAAAGGAACGGCGAAGTTGGATAGTGGCAGCGCAGATCAGTTGATTCTTGCCAGGTACACAGTGAGCCTTATAATTCTCTCCCACTAATCTGAGTTGATGATTGGGTTGATTGGTCCGAGGACAAACAACCGATCCATCCGGCCATCCTAGTTCCGCACCCTTGGTCGACGAAGCTTTTTGCATCATCAACAAATCTTCCACAGCACATATATTCAACGACCCATCGGTTCTTCTTCTTCAGCTCAGTAAAAAAAAAGAAAAGGACTCGCAGACACAAAGAGCGCATCAATCTTCCCCTTCCAGCAAGCCACGACATATCCTACATGTTAGTCCCCCCCCCCCCAACAGGTTTTCATATGTATAGCCCTGTGATCGACTGTCTCCGAGGGACAATCCCAACTTCTCTCAGATCGTTGGTGTCTTCTACATATCTTTTGTGACCATTCTTTGATCACTTCCTCTGCACCCCTGCCCTGCCAAGCACTCCAACTGTAAACCCTATCCTTACACCTCAAAGAAGCTCATCGCAAAACATCCTCAGGCACGATTGATTCAATACACCCATCCACTCCTCGTGCTCTACATATCTTGGATTTTCAGGTGCGGGTGTGTGTTTAATATGTAATTGTTTGAGGAGGTGGATAGCCCATGAACACGCATTGATCAAGCTGTTTCGGTTTCTGGCCTTGTGGTTTTGTTGTTGTTGTTTGTTGATTCGTGCTTTTGTAGGACGTGTGTTGGCGAAGTTCACGCTGGCATCAAAGTGTTGTAAGCAATCAGCAACGTTTTATGTGCAGGAAGTCTAATAATTGGAGAAGGGCTGATTGCTGACCCAAGATAATCAGCTGCTCCGCTGTCATCCTACAAAACCCTAGCTCCGACTTCAACGATCTTTTATTCATCGGACACCATTTGCAAAAAGGTATGTTATAAGGCAGCTGAGTACAACACAATGGATCTGAATTGTTGCCTTTCAAACATCTGTACATGGTCAGATGCGCTGTGCATTTCTTCCTTTCCTGTATCTTCTTGATGTACAACTGTAAACAAGTACTACTATAATCGGCCAACTTCAAGAAGAAGAGAAGTGACTCGTCCATGTACAACTTTCCAGTCATCAACAACAACAACAACAACAACCTCAGCACCACTAGCCAGATCATCCGCCCACTCTTCAGCTTCCCGAGCTTTGTCAACCTGCCCAAGAATCTTCTCCCTCTGATCTACCCCCTACAAATTCCCTCCTTTGCTCTACATAAATATTTACATAACTCCGTGGCTATGTGCAGCCCGGCTCTATGTATTTATTGTCATCAAAACCCAGCTCCGTTACAATAAGCCTTTGATTTCAGATCTTATAACCATCATCACATTTTCCCACTCAGAAGCTGCTGCTGTCTTCCGAACAAGTTGTAATCAAGATCCTCCCCTTTCTTTCCTGCATTTGAATCCAACACCCTATATGGTTCGGACAGCGCCAATAATTATTAATAGTCAATATCTAATGGTTATGTATCCACACACCCAGGCAGAATACACACTTACTTAATATGACTTCTTACTGATTCATCCCGCAGTCTTGAACGGCCTCCTTCAAACATCCAATACATACTTTTCTCGGCTACTCGAGCCATCCATCCATCTCTCCACTCTCGCTTGTCGGCTTCGTCAGTCGGCATTCTCCCGAAGGAAACAAGCAGCGAAAGAAAAAACGTTCGATTCGATCACCCTCTAGTGTCTCTCCTTAACCGATCATCATCATCCAAGCCGGCGATTCCAGGCACATACTATGGGTCAGGAGGAGCTTGATGACCGCGGGGTGCTCAATCGGATCGGGAGCACTGAGGAGCAGCAACCCCTCCAAAGCCACTAATCGCTCAGATTCAACCTCAGCCCCAATCGAGGAGACCAGCTC